TCAGAAATGAGCATCAATGTGAATCATCTAGGTGAAGATCATCTCCAGCGTTCCGTTTTCAGGTCTTTGGTTCGCTCCTCGTCGGAGGTTTAGAAATCACTGGAGTTGCTATCTTATAAAGCTTCTTGTTCCTAGTAGTAATGCCCTTGTTACTAGCAGCTTCTTGTTTGTAGCTTGACATGCAGCGAAATTAGATTCACTCAGGTTTCGTTGCGACCAGCTCCGAAGGAACCTCAGTTGGTGCCAAACTCCTTCCACCATCAACCACTCGTCACTCCGGCCCACTTCCATTAATCCATGTTCCAAAATCTCAGCCTAAGGATCAATCTCCAGTGAGCGCACGTCTCAGGCGCTCTTGGATGCTTTGCTCACATCGAGTTTGAAGAGCTTGGACACCTTCAGCCCAGCGCAGCTGGCTGGTTTGGCCTGGTCCTGTGCCCGGTTGATCAAGAAGAATTCGCTCCTTTTGGGCCACCTGGAGCCAGACCTGGAGGGGTTTGGGGCTCGGGCTGCAACAAGTACCTTCTGGGAATTGTATGACTGGGGTGGGTTTTAAGGGTCCAAATACCTTCTGAGGAGGTACTTGGAGCAGTAGGGAGGAGTTTACACTTTGGGAACGTTGAAGTTGCGACCCTAAGATTGAATAGGGCATTGTTACTTGAAAGAAGCAAGTCCTTTCAGCAGTACAGCCACATGTAGCCACACGCTTGAGGCTGTTGCCCACATCCTTAGATGTAACTTTTCAAGTCATCTCAGTTTTCAATTTGAGATTCCTTTTCTTTTGCTTTGCCGTTCCTTTCTCCTAGAGAAGGACCACGCCGGACTCCACTCAGATGCCTTGCTCCATGTGGACCTGGCACCCTTCGACGCCCAACAGTTGGCACTCTTCGCCTGGGCCCTGGCACGCCTGGGCCTTCGTGGCGCCGCTTCGGCCGGTGAAAGCGCCTTTGGGCGCATCGCGACGAAGGCGGTTCCGTCGTGTGTACGGGCCGGGGTGAAGGGGGTCAATGTGTGTGTGTTCTTGCATCAGGTTCTTTGTTGAATCAAATCAATAAATTTACAAGAATGTACATATGATTCTTTTAGAGTGGAAAACAATGAAAACGATTTTACATATACGACGGTTCAGGAATGCGTTTTTGTTAATCATAATCACTGATATCTATAAACGGTTCTTATTTCATAATGTTCATATTCTCATGCAGCAAGGGGTCAGGTCTGGCAAGGCAGCGGGAGGCTAGCTGAAGAGCAGCCCCAGGCCCACAACTCAAAAGGCTGTTTGCTTAATGAAGGGTCGGAGATGTAAAACCATTCTAGTAGACGGGGGGATTTGATGAGCTCATTAGTCAGACTGAGCTGGAGAGAAGTTTTGGAGGTTTAAATGCATTCATACAAAACTAGGGATAAAGTTTGACCTCCAAAACGACTGGCACTTGGAGAGACTCCACACTCGACGATCAACCAACCAGAATGGGGGCGCCTACTGCGAGCTGGGTTGGTGAAGAATAAACATTTTCCAGTGACCACCAACAACTAGGTGGACACCTAGCCATCGTGCCACCAACAAGAAGATTGCAAGCCTGACCTGTTTTGGGATCCGCGTCTAAGTATCTAAGTTGGGCAAGGTCTCAGAGGGAAGGTACCCACAATTTGGTCTCGAATCCTCTTTGCCTACCTTCGGGTGGTTGAAAAGGGGTCAAACTTTCAGGGGCAATGCACCGATCGCATCGAGCTGCTCAGTCCTTTCCGTTCACACACGCCTCCAACGCCGCCTCGACTGGGGGTCGACGTCGGACGCCACGACACGCGCTTCTCGAGCTCCACACACCGCAGTTGCAGGTGGTGGAACTGCATGCGGAGCTGCGGCCGCAAAGCGTTTCGAACTTGGCGGCTCGGTTGCTTTTGGCGGGAGGAGTTCTGGGCTTGGACCACTGAGGAGTAAAGTCTGGCTTCCTTTCCAAGTCGAAAATGAAGGGGAGATGCTGAAGTTGGGAAATGGGTTGATTATATTTTATTAACATGATAGATAGATCGATAGAATTAGATAGAGTTAGATAGAATTACAGTAGATAGAATTAGATAGATAGATAGATAGGTAGTAGGTAGGTAGATAGATCATGTTTTTTGTCGCGATGGTTTGGACGGATTTACAATAACTGATTGATGGAACCCAGGCACTGCATATTCGTCAAGGAGTTTCCTCCTCTTAGAGTTTTCACAATCAGTTCTTGCCCTATCCTTCGCTTGTGCTTGGAATCCTGGAATGGTTTGCTTGCTTCCGGACAGCCCCATTCTTTCGCTATCGCCACAATACGCCACGCCACACCCCAACAATGCAGTAAAATGCAAGGACCACACGACCGGTGAGTTCGGAAATTCCGGAGAGTACATGTTTGCACGATCATGGGAACCTCCTTCATGTTCCCTTCCGAAATCCTGGGATCCCAGGCGTGGTGCTTCGCTGCGGCTGCCTACAGCACCCGCGCGGGAGGCGAGCCGGAGCACTTGCTGGCGCTGGCGGCGCAGGCGCAGCAGCATGTGGCGGAGCTTGAAGCGCAGCACGTGGCCAACAGGTAAGGGAAGAAGGGTGGCCAAGGGTGGGGGAGGGTGTTTCAGTGAAGCACGTGAGAGTTGGCTTGGAGGAATCTTGAGGTTCAAAGTTCAACTGAAGCACGAGCTTGAGATCCCAAACCATTTCAACCTTGTGCCAAAGCAAGCCATGGTTTCGTTGGTGTTTTAGATGGTTTCTTGGAACAACCGCCAGGGCATGAGCTCTTGCGAAGCTTCAACTTCGAGATCTTCCTGTGCTCGAAGTTCTCCTGGGCTCTGTGGAGCCACGCTTCTTGGCAGCGACATGTAGCTGGGAGATGCTTCTCTAGCTGGTATACCAGGTCAAAATTATCAATGCAACTTTACGAAGGACTTGCAGAACTCTTGAAGCTATACACTTCATGTGTTGGGACGATGATGGTAACCCAACACCACCCACCCTGGTCGACTGTGAAAGGTCTCAATGACTTTGGCTCGGAGGAGTTGGCCATGACTGCTTGGAGTGGTGCCAAAGTGCGTGGCTCGGCGCTACGCAGCTTTCAGCTGCCTGCGCTCACACCGTCTTCGTGGAGAAGTTCTCAGAACGTTTGTTTGGATGCTTTTGGTTGATGGTCTTTGTTGATATGGTTCTCACAGGCACAGGTTCATGCTTGAAGATGGAGTTGATGCGAAGGATTGATGTGAACTGTCAGATATTTTCGGGGGTTGAACATGTGAGACGAGCTGGATATGTGTTGCATTGTTTTGCTAATTTATAGACAGGCACTCCATGACCTCCTTTTGCTATCCTTTTGCTGACGCAAAAGAATCCAATAATAGACTCAATAGACCAAACATATCCAAAGATGTTCAGTGACCCAGTTTGCAAGGCAAGAACTTCCAGTGGGACAACTTAGACGAACTTGAGATTTTGTCACCTAGCCTTGGCCCAGAAAATGGGCCTTCTCAGATTTCATTCAGCTTGCACTTCGTCACTTGCTTCGCAAACCCTTCGCTTCGCAGTCCGCACTGGCGCTGGCATTCCTCGACCCTGATGACACCCGCCCAGGTGTGGCGGAGGCATCAGCTCGGGCCGCCCGGTGGTGTCACGTTTTGCATCGAAGGCGGCTCCACCTCTTTAGATGGTCAGGTGGACCCTCCTGGCATCCACCTGAAGCACCTGATCCACCGAGGTCAGTTGAAGCCGTAGGCGTATCGTATCGTTGTATTACGTGTGTGTTGTGGTTGGGTCTGAAACTGGACATTCAGTAGTTCAACATGTTGATAAACGAACCAGGGTTTAGAGATCAACATGTTGTGCCCTTCCACACCAGACATCTCGTTTGCCATGGATTTGTGTGTTGCGATTCCCACTAGCTGGCAACCAGGAGCTTGCTTGGTTTGGCTATGATACAATTATATGATTATAATCGATTATATGTTGTGTTTGTCACCTTTGCCCGTTTGTTTTTGCAGCGATCCTACTTTCCCCTCCTGGTCGACTGTTTTTTTCCATGTCAGCCGCTCTAGTGGCTCTAGTGCGCAAGTTCTTCGTTTGGCCACATGTTGGGATCCAAGCCATGAGTGCTTTCGGGCAATTTTTTGGAGGTCGCCACAACATGCAAAGCCTTTTCCTATAAGTACAGATTTGGGTGTTCTATTGGGTGGTGGTTTCGATGGTTTTTGCCCAACCTTTACTTGGGATGCTTGATCCGGAGACCAATGGTCTCCCATGTAGTATGCATGTGGTATGAGGGGCACCACTCATCTCCCATGTGGTATGCATGTGGTATGGGTGGTGAAAAGTATGTGCACTAACTATAATATATACAGTTAATAGGGCTACGTTCGTGAGGTTTTTCAACCACTGTTTGAGGTGCTCTACATTGCTCCCCCCATCGATGTTGAGTCGTCCTGCGATGCTCGCGAGCTGCTCGCCATGCGTCGTCCAAGAGACCTAGTGAGGTCGAAGCCGTGGCTGAAGCCGCGGGGCATCGCCTACAGGAGCTCAGCCTACAGGAGAGGTTGCCGGAATATTTTTACACCGGGTTTTGGTCTTTCATGGGTCTTTCCAGGGGCCCCACAAACCATCAAAAATCCTGGTTTTCCCTAGCAAAAAACATGGTTTTTGTATGTGAAAACCCTGGTTTTTTCCTGGTTTTGAGGGCCCCTGGTTCATGGTGTATGGATTCCTTTTTCATCACCGAGGCATGGTAGATGTCACTTGCCGTGATGGGGTAGCACTTTTTTGTTGCTTCGTTTGAAATAAACAAATGATAACATGAGGTGGGTGACTTGACAGCCACCCTGATGTCCTGTCCCATCCTGTCCCTCAGATGAAGAAAGGCTCGCATTCACGGGCGGATGCTTCCAAAGAGTGTTAGAAAGCAACAACTGGCAGAATCTTCTCAACAATCTTGCAGCGGCTTTGAGGAGCTTGGTAATATGGCTTGGTGCTGCTGAACCTTGCGATGGCACAGCAAGCCTGTTGGGACCTGAGTTTTTGCCTCTCCTGGGACCACATGTGGGGAACTCTCCATTGTTAGATATGCTATCTAACTGACACTGATGAGACCCTACGAGAACTGGTGAAACTCTCCAGAATCCTTCGGCTCACACCCCACTTTCGATGCAGTAAGACCCCAAGGATTCTGCTTTTTGTGTAACTGTAGCCGTGCGAAAAGAAACGAACCAAAGAAACGAGCCAAATCTGTGGTTCAGCGCCACAAACGTCGACGCTCGCCGAGGTGCTGCAGGCGATTTCGGAGAGGAGTTTGTCGTTGTTGGAGGCCATCCGCGACAGACGTCGTTGTTGGGGGCCCACAGGATGTGGGTAGGAAGACGTGAAAGGTAGCTGTTCAAGTGTCTGATGTTGTTCATGCCCTCAAAATCATCACTATCAAGTGCCGTCAAGTAGAAACATATCTACTTTTTGGAGATGGGAAAGAGATTGATGTCCCACTTTTGAGATCCATCCCAGATCACTGCTGGACTGATGAAACTGGGAAGGGTGTGTGATGGTGTGTGTTTGTGTATATTATATAATATATAGACACACAGACACGCACACTCCTCTTTAGTCCATGGAAGCAGGGTGCTTTTCCTTGAAAAACCCGTGTTTGGAAGCCTCAAGTACATGTGTTGCCAATCGATGTAACAGAAGACCGGACCCCAATACTGCGTTTGTTTGAATCCAGCAGGGATGTTCTGATAAAGGCCTAACTGGTCCTGAGAAGGTTTGAGTGCCTTGATGATCCTACAAGTAGTGAAAGCTGGAATACAGACAGCAATTGACAAAAGCCTCGGATTCCATGAGAAGCTGCTCAATTGGCAATGGGATGGTTTGGTGTAACGGTCACTTGTTGTTTAGACATGTTGCACTTTGGGAGGACCTTCCCATGTTCCACTCGCCGAAAGGACTCTTTGAGGCCCTTTCAGACTCCTGGCCTGACCCATTCCAGCTCCACATACAGTCGAGATTGATCAGGATTGGCAGTCATCCATGAGGGAGTCTCAATTCGTTTTGGTCGCATGACGCCTCCCAGGAAGTGGCCCTTCCACCAGGCCCATGCTTTCCGCTCGTGAGCGAGTTGCGGCTGTGAATTGGTCGAGGTGTGTGAGTTTCATGTTGGAGTAGTGTGGCTCGTCCCATCCAGGGGTCGTGGATGTGACAGGGGCACCCCTACCCCTCCCCTCCAAGAAGCATTCCTTTGGAAATGCTGGGTGTGTGAGTTTCTTGAACAACATGAACAGTCATAACTGACCAAAAGTGCACAAGGAAAAAGGTGACGAGGTGTGTTTGCAGGGTCCATCTTCACAAGCTGAAAAGCTGTGTGCAGACATTCATCCAGACCTAGTCGAAGATCCCCCATTCCTATCATATGAAAGGATTGTCCTACCCTAAATTATTCTTAAGTTCGACTATTAATATATTCAACTTTTCTGAGATTTCCGTGAAGATTGTGTCCCCAGAGTGGCTCAGCTTACTCAACCGAGAGGTCTATTTTTAGGAAAAGGTTGGTTCGCATGGTGAGAGCGGACGGCCATATTCCCCGTGGCCTTCGGAATGAAAGGGGCACCAACGCCGGGTTTTCTTCTTGAAAGTGTGGCGACAGCGTGCTTTGTTGGCCGGCACAAGCTCCTACTACAGGAGTACCAAAGAATATTTGGAAGGCAGGGCAGGGATTGAAGCAAAAAGCAGGCGGAACAATAGAAGTCGTTCAGCACATCAACTGGCCGTCAACCACTGTATCTTTGTACTGTATATAGTGGTTTTCTCAGAGTGTTGATGTTGTTTTTTGTTTGCCAATCTCTTCAGTCTTCACTACACCCTACAAATAACTCTTCGAATGGGGAGAACCTCGCCCATCCCATGTTGCTTCCATTTTTTCCGTGGTCTGTCGTGTTCCCTTCCCTCATTTCAGCACGAGTCTGACACAAATTCCCTCATCTTCAGACAGAGAAAGAGCGAGAGAGAGATCTTCAGGTGATGCTCTAAGCGCCTGCCATGCTTTGGCCACCACCTTGCTGTGCCTCGTGTCGCTTGGTTTGGACCGAGGAAGCCGCAGGTGGTGAAGGATTGGTGTCACAGGAGGTTTTCTGATCTTTTTGGACCTCGGGTACATTCAGTTAAAGGAACCGTCTGAATCCTTGTGAAGCATCCTTTGCTGCAAAGCCCAGGGTTCACACCTGGCACCCCAAATGTCAGTCCACCTGGGACCTTGTCATAAGTGTGTCGATGGTTTCTTTTTCCCCGTCGTGCTGCGACCCCAGGCAAGCCTTCACTGACTTGGAGATGTTGGGGCCTTGGTCGAGTCGGTGGATGTCTGGATCCCACAAATCTCTTAACAAATCCAAGTCTCAATTCAGTCTACTAGTTCAAGTTTGGACGTCTTATACCAGGGCCCCCTGTTTGGGATGGCTAAAGGACATGGTGTCGCCCATGGTGTACCTACTACCATGGTGTACTGACTACCATGGTGTCGCCCTGTCGACCGACCAGACTCACGCGGACGACAGAACAACCAGTTGCAGCCGTTGTCCACGATGCTTTGATATGCTTTGTATAAACGCATGTGGCTCTGGGCATTTGGGGCCTCATTTGGGGGTCATTTACAGGTACACTCCCTGAAGTCATCAAAGTGGATGGCATGCCCCGAGTCTTCTCAGACAACCGTGACGTCCGAATGCCGCTTGTGGTGAACTCCACGTAACCGATTTCAGGGAGTCAGTGTAGAATGTTCTGTATTAGAAGCCAGGGTGGCCTCCGGCAGGTGGCTTGCATGTGGCCGTTGTGGCCAACATTTGACTGCTTGATAGTGGCATTGTGAATGCAACTGATGTTTGGAAGCTCTGATGCAGTCTCCCAATATTACATACATTACATACCATACATAGCGCATCTATTTATACCTATTAGTGAAAGACACCATATGTGACTTTCATGATGTATCCATGTCAATCCATGTCTCCTGATGTGTTTTGAGAAACGTTTCAAGTGATTTGGAGAGGTGACCGTTCTACGATCTTCCAATGACAGAACGCCCTTGGCTGGTTTAGTCGGAACCGTTCGGGTCAACGACTGATCTCCGACCGAGCTGGTCGCCCTGAACTTCCCAGTAAGACCATGTTGGGCGAAAGTCTTCGAATAAAGCAGATGTTCCGCAGAATCAGAGAATTCAAACATAGGGGTTTTTTGTTGTTTTTACACTGAATTCATAAAAATCAAACTCCTGAGATTCCTGGATTTCTTCACTTAATTATTGTGTTCATATTTCTTAAACCTACCAGTGCGCATGGTGTGATTTTGTACAAGATGGCCCTGCATGGTCGTGACTAGGTGACATGAACGACCCTGCATGAGGTGTGACGATGTGGAGGCCTATGCCGAAGTGTCTGGGCCCTTGGTCAGATCAGCTGGGGCAAGGAGCAGGTCGAGGACAACACTGGTGGACATGCTTAAGCTGCGGATCCTTTTCCACTGTCCCTATAGGCCCTAGGGCTCCAAGTACCTTCGTTTCGAAGGTGTTTTGATTGTTTTGTTTGAAGTGGGTTTAGAGGGTCCAAATACCTTCGTTTCGGGTGCACTGGGAGACCTAGGGTGTGGAGATGCTTGAGAGAGGCACGCATGAAAAAGCCGGGGCTGCTGGGGTCTCCTTCATCGAAATGTTGGGAACCCATCCACGTGATTTTCAGCATTCCTCCAGCATGGTTTCTTTTTTGCACTTTATAAGGAGAGACATCGAGTCTGTTTCATGCAGGATAGTTGGGTCAGAAATGTCTCAACATCACGGAAGCCTCCAAGTCCTCCGGGATGAACGGTTGGTGGATGGGTGGGTTTTCACCAGTTGGCGTACCATGGCTTTGGTGTCAGTGTGTAATTGAACATAAGAGCCCACATGGACCAAAAACCATATACCAGGACCATCCTGTTTGGGTGTCCAATGGATTACCCTACACTACTTGGAGATGTCCATTGGACATCTCACTGAAATACACTCTCATTTGGTCGCAGGCGTTGTGAAGCCTTCAAGATCCTTCACGGCTCAAAAAGGGCTCACCATTCAGCAGCAGCCTTTGAGTTACACTACACCCCACTTGCGCTCAAAACCTTTGAGGCTGCAGCGGCTTGGAGAGAAGATGGATGAGGTGCCTCGGAAGTTTATTTGATCCAGATTCTGGATGGTGCCAGGAAGTTCTTTGGACGCTTTGTAGGTATGTCGGGGGTGGATGAGGAGCCTCAAGATTCTCCAGCCATCTGGGGCGAGTTGTGAGATGCTGTAAAGCGGCATTTGACCACAAAAAGGTCGCAGTAAGTAGATGACCACCAGGTAAAAAGGTATACTTCATGAAGGCATTGCTGAGACATTGCACATGCCACTTCTCAATCCGATTGTTTGGTACTCAAGGGCACTCTCCTTCTTGGGGTCTATAGGACCATCCTGGTTGCAAAGGTTTGGATAATCATCTAAGCCCATGGGTGCACCCGGTCCGAGCGGGGCAATGTGGGTAGCTCTGACAGCTCTAGACGTTTCTGGGCAGCTCTGCTGAAAAGGAACGATGCTTTGGCTTTGTACGGACTGAGGCGGTCCACGAGAAGCGTCCAGGTAACTCTCCGCAGACCATGAAGGCGCAGTGACCACTCGGCTTCATCAATCATCGAACGTGTCGAACGATGGCAGGAGGAAAAGCACGAGGTATCACTGCATGGAAGGTCTGAAGATCAGCACGATAATCAAAAACAGATCCACATAGGTTCGAACGAGAGATTTGGTCACATCAGGCGTCGTGTTTTTGTTGCTGACTTTTTCGAGGCGGAGGCTGCTCGCAAGCTGCCCCAGGTGGGCGTTCTTTTGCTTTCTGACTTGTTCATTTATTTTACAAACAAAGGATAAAGGGGCGCCTGCTTTGGACAAACTGACGCCCTTGGACTTCTTCCTTCAACTACTTTCCCCACCCAAGAAGCAAAAAACCTGCGAAACATGCCCGCGCGGTCCGTGCGAGTTCTCGTGCCGCTCGCAGTGCGAGGCTCGCATCGCCTATCGCAGTGCGTCTACGACGCGACGCGTGTGTCTCGAGCCTTGCGGAGGTCTTGTGGGAGACAGTGCAGCTGCAAGTCTTGCTGAAGCCCCCGGGCTGGACTGTCCGGGAGCCCCAACGTCTGCAAACAACGCGCGCGAACGCGCCTACGCGTGCGGGAACAACGCGTGCTTCGATAGAGATGGACGAACTTGGTTGGAGGAGAGTGGATGGCGCGGGTCTTCTGAAAGGGAAGGGGTGTTGTTCTTTTTTTTGGGGGGGGGAGGGAGGGGTGACCCTCCCTCAGACCATCACGCGGTTACTTAAAACATGGTCTTCCAGATGCCTATGTTCCACTTCCAGATGCCTTGTTTCAGGGAGAACCAGCAGATGCTGAGAACCAGCAGGTGCTGATGCTTCGACCCATTCCTTTGGTTGGACCTTTGATCCCAAGTGGACCGGTTGGTCGTTCGTGGATGAAGAGGCGCTTCTGCGCCAGGCACCGACGAAGGAGTTCGTGTTTTGTTGGCGCCAACGACAAACGGAGGTCTTCAGCTGGAAGACGTAGATGCTTCTCAAAATGATGGACTAAGAGGCGTTCCAAGAATCTGGCACGGGATTCCACCTAGGTTGGTGCAGGCTCCGCTGGTCAAGCAAGGCTGGGGCCTCGGTGGTGGTTTGTACCAAATACATCTCTCCATACTTGATTTACTCCATGACCAGTCCTTACTAGCCTGCAAGTGCTCAGGAAGATATACATCTTTCACCATTGCTTATAAAGGGATCTAGACTCTTCCATGTCCAGTTACGGATACACTCTTACATTATACAGCATCTTTAAGAAGCAAAGAAGCAAAGCTTCGGAGCTTGAACCCGCCGGCGCTGTCCGACCGGGAGGTCCATGGAGCGATGGTTTCAGGCGACGATTCCATGGGCAGGGCGGATGAGACTGAGGCGTTCAGTCGTGGCACTGGTCTTGCATCTAAGAGCAAAGCAGCAAAGCCATTCGCGTTGATTGTTTGGTGTTGCATTGTTTCCTTCTTGCGTTGATATACTGACACTGTACCATCTGGTACTGCTCATGCTTGTACCAGCGAGAATCTGATATAACCAGTTGATACAATTGGTAGATAAAGATGAGCAAAGCAGCAAAGCAACTCCCATCCCTCCCATGGAACATCAAGCGCATTTACTGCACTTCTCAGGAGCGATGCTCCCATGGCATCGCATCTGATGCTGAAGCAGACTTCGGTGCGCCGATGGGCTGAATGGGAGATGCGCCGTTTTTGAGATCCAAGGCTTTGATGGATGGAAGGATTTTATGGGCAGTTTGGCGCATGTTGGCACGTTCAACGCGCTACTGGTAGATCAATGATAGAGGTCCTTAGATATTACCATGCGTGTCTTTTAAAGAGAATTGATGTGTACATACGAGCTCAAGACCCAAGTAGTATAAGGCTCGGGACGGGTCATACCGGGTCATACCGGGTCACACAATGCAAGGCACGTTTAAGAGTGTTAATGGTTTTTAGCATGAACAAATGCAATGGGCACTGAGTCCTATAGGACCCCGTGCATGCGCAGTTAAGGACCCCCCGTCGCAGAGTCGGGGTGCGACAAAAGCTGCGAGGCTTCGTCCACCGCCTTGACCGGAACACTTCGGGACTTTTGCTTTGTGCCAAGTGAGGATCCTCAGTCTCAGAGGCAGATGGGTTATCGCTCAAATTATAAATGCGACCAGCTGAAGGTTTAAACGGTGTTTGTTTCATGATGATTGAGTCAAAGCAAGACTTCATCAAATGGAAACAGTCTATGTGTGTTCTATATGCCTGCATTGACCCCTGAAACCACCCCAATGTATGTCGTATGCCAGTCCCATTTGTCGTGTTTGGGTCATGTGTTTCCAGTCTATGTGTGGCCAAACTTGAGGACTTATGCCGGGTACTTTGCGGCCAAGTTTGAGTTCAACGCGCGGCGGGCCGGGCGCCAAGGACGGCGTGGACCAAACATCGACTGCTCATGACTGCTCCGCCACTTAGACGAGGAAACCAGGAAACTCTCCGAGGAAAACTGGAGAACCCCAGACAACATCAGAAAACCGATGTTTGCTCCACAGTTTGGCTGCGATCCGTACTCCGCCGATGGCCTACTTTGGTGTGTGACCTCGAGGTGAAGAAGCAGTACCTGGCATTGTGCCAAGGACATTTTCCGAAGGCAAAAGTGAAACTTGTGGGACGGGGACCGGTAAAAATGACAGGCGGGGAGGGAGACTTGTAGCAGGCGGATGATTTGAATCCATGAAGGTGCTTCAAGTCGATCTCTCTCAAGCTAGATGGAGCTGCAGGAGAACCTCCTCGGTGTAGGGCTTGTGTCGTGCAGGTGGCTTGCAGAAAAGCTTGCAAAGACGACTCCTGGTTGAAAGAGATGGTCTTTCAAGGTTTTTTCTGAGAAGAAGCGCTCTATTTTGTGTTTGTAACCCTCTACCCGACCTCAGGTTGCTTGCACAGATGATACCGATACGGCACAGTCAAGTCATTGAGTTGACAGCTTCACCAGGGGCCAGCCATGTTGGACTTCCCGTTGCAGACCAGCGAGATTGCACCAGGTGGGCGTGTTTTTGGGTCTTCAGTTTGGTTTAGTCAATGCTCGAGGGGAAGGTTTTTGCACTCTAAAGCATGATCATGACAAGGGTTTTGCTAACGCTATCAGGTCCGACTGGCGTGGTCCACTGAACATGTGGTAACATTTGGTAAGATCGAAGCATAAAGGCATCAGCACATTATTCACAAGGCTGGCCAAAAGATTGAATATAATTGAATAATATATGCTTTTGCCCTCCACAACAGGATGCACTGGAGGATGCTAGAGTGTTCGCTGCAGTTTTACGCATGGCTGAGATGCCCCCCTTGTACAAACAGGACAGCCCTCATGATTGAAAGGGGTCCGGTTTGCTTCTCTCGACTGCTTGATGCTGCTTGAATCTACAATAAATATCTTTAAAATATGTCTCAATATATATTCACACATTGGTCAAACGGTCTTTGAGAAATCCATCCGTCTTCCCCGCTCGCGGTCCCTCTTCCCGACCGAGGCATCTATCAAAGCCGTGTGGATCAGACCGGGCAGTCTGCCTTGACCGAGGCAACGCAGACCACGACGCACCGGTTGGAGGAGCATGGGATGGAGGAGGTGACCAGGTTGGTTTTAAGATGTGAACCAGTGTGCTCTCTGGCGCGCTCCCCCATCGGCGGGGGTCGGCGGATTTTTTGGAGGTGGAATTCGAAGCCCCCCCACGCGTTTCGGAGCAGCACTCTTTTTTTCAGTGCGATTCTGGCCGTGGAAGCGAAGCGATGAAGCCACTGATTTCGATTCAACAGTCCTTTCATCAAAGAGCTGGCACACCATCTAATCTTCTATTAATTGAGCGTTGAAAACCCGAGAAAGATCCCAAATCGATCAAATCAAATTCGATATCTTTCATCATGGTTTCCAGGTGGTTTCTTAGTTGGAGCACTTCACCCAAAACCGGAACTGCCGGTGCCGCGCCGAGGTCTTAGACGTGGCTCATCTCATGGACAGCGGCAAGGAGGATGGGACTGCGAGACCAAAGTGCCCAAAGACTCCATGTAGCCATGTGTGCATGTATATATTTAACTCTGTTCGTGCATGTGTGTATGTAGTACAATATACTATATAATGACTGTAGCACACAATATAATCATGACTGTAATTATTTGTAGCACCGTTCTGTCATGGAATGAACTGTTGCTGCAGTCCTGTACCACAATTTGGAGTGGTAGCCTACGCAGCCAGTGGTCTCGACGTGTATTATACAGCCTGGTTGCGATGGGCCTCCCTTTGGAAGAGATGCGTGTGGGCAGCGTGCAAGGCTACGTCATCCTAAAACCATGTTCGGATCACTTGCAGCAGTCATATATGTGCACTGCGGCAGAGGCCCCATACAGCATGCGTGTTCCCACCATCATGGGCAGATGCCGACGCATTGCTTGGAAGTCCAAACAGGATCTCATTTTGGTCACCCCACTTCTTGCGAGTCTCTAGACCAAATTTCAGCATTCATCACTGATGAGTCTCTTTTAGGAAACCATTATTATGAAAGTGATGCCTCACTGTGTACATATATTCCATTCAAACATGTTGTGTCCTTTCATGTATTGTATTTATATTCATATATGACCACGGCATTTGGACAGTTCAATAACTTTTTATTTAGTTTGCTTTACTTATTTTCAGGATTTAGGATTTCTCGTCATTGGCTGTGTTCCGAGGGAATCTACAGTGGGTGAGGTTCGGTGTCCTGGCTGATCCTGGCTGCAGAAGGACCTAGTGGGGTCCTGGCCTACCTCACAAAGACGCCCTGGAAGAGGGGAAGTCTTTGGTTCTCAGGTCTCCTCATTAAAGTTCACACCCATCATGTTGCTTTCGGAAACATGAGGACATCAATTAACCATGTCCACCGTTGAACCCAAACCATACGTATGCCTCTTGCTAACAGACTGAGAACCTTGGCCCCCCCCACCTGTTGGTATACAGGGTTCCTTGCCTGCCACCGCCTGCGCAGGCTTGGAGTTTAGTGGCTTTGAAGCTGCACACAGGCCAACGGAGTGGAACATAAAGGGGGTTCCACTGACAATCAATGTTCTTGAACATGTCCGTGTCTACAGGATAATGCCAGGTGTCGGCGTCTTCTGAAAAAATCCAAACCGCTCAACATGTGGGAAACCGGGTTCAGGACTACTTACATTTCAAAGACTCTGAACTGTTGGTCCAATTGTTTGGAAGTAAAAACATGAAAACCATTGAGAACCTAATTTATTACCACAACGAAACGGGGTCGTAACTATTTGTAGCTGAAACATCACGAATTTGTTGGTTTCGTTTCCAGGATCGTCGATCGCTTTGATACAATTTGTTTGACTGGTAGTGGCAGGCCTTTTGCCCATGCTGAACACAGCTAAGCTGATCCAGCTCCTCAGCAGATAGACCCAAAGCCATGCGCACATCATCGGTGTTCAACAAGGCGTTCCTAACTGAGGCAGCAACTGCCAAAACAGATCAACAGATTACACCAATAGCTACAGAAGAACTACAGCAATGCCTTCCTTTTTTCTGAGTCATTCGTATACCCTAGGGATCCAGTCGTACCTTCTCAGAAGGTGGGACTGGGGTGGGTGCCAGGAGGGTCCAGGTGCCGTACCTGAGAAGCTACGACTGGATCCCTAGGGATAGCATAACTCACAAACCCTGAACTCACGCCACCGGACGACCACGGTCGCGTCGTCGGCCGGTGGAGTCGGTGTCGTGTCGTCGGGTTGGGTTGGCCGGTGGAGGTCGTACGCATCAGATTAGAGCACATTGCAGTCACCTGGGTCACCCACTGGCTGGAGATGAGGCTCACCTGCCTGCTGCGGAAATGGTGGGTGTTTGGGTATATGGGACTTTGAGAACTATACGATTTACAGGGAGTGAAGACTGGTACCCTGGTGCTGAGGCTGATTTGAAGAACAACTCACAGGGTCGTTAAGTACACAACTGGTTTGCTTGAGTAAACACGCTTGAAGCTCTTACTGTATATACAGAATTTGCCCGCAGCTCGTATACCCAGTATACCAGTGCTTACGAAGTATAGAAGAATAAGTCCAAAGCTGCGGCAAGTGATGGCAGTCCCCAAAATGTATCTTGTGACATGGGATGAGTGGACGAAACCCTACTTGTTCAGAACTTTTGTGTGACCATGTATATAAGAAAAAGAACTAACTAACAGAAGGGGAGCTGACTGGTTTGATTAACTTCCAATCCAAGCTCACAAGCGAAAGACTGGACTCATCCAAAAATAGGCCGTCTTGCCATCAGCATCGACTGGGCTTCGAAGATGCTAAAGGATCTAAAAGTCAGGATTCCGATGATGGCTCAAGCAGCAAACAGTTCTAGGTATGGCTGGAACTGAAGCACCTGAAACTGGATTCCAGGTTCGACCAGTCCTGAACCTCCTTTGACTCGCCAGGGACCCGGCCCTCAATCGCCACCAGTCCGGACCGTCTCTCCCACACCAGTCCGGACGGTGAGGCCTATGGAGCCAGTCCAAGCAGTCCAAGTCCTCGGGCGCGGGGGCCCGGAGACTTCACCCGGCTTCGGCCGGCCCAAGCCGGCCCAAGCGGTTTGTTCAATCCGAAAATGGGTTGAGATTGTTCCATGATTGTTTTTTTTTAATTAAATGACACTCACCAATTGGATGTTTGTGGAGAGGCATTTGGAGTGTTTCATGCCTCAGCCAAAAATTTCTAAAGACAGTAGTCAACATACTGCATTAATATGGTTTAATATGCATATTCAGTACTGTTGTATAAGTTATATAGTTGTATACTACTGTAATTGTACTATTTCTACACCACTTGCAGAACCGCTCCTCTATCTTTGTGGGTGGTCTTATAGCTTAGACATCATCCATGTTTTGGAAAAGAATCCTGTTGTTTCCGTCAGCAGTGGTGTGAACATAGGTCTTTCATTCATCCCTCTCACATATCTCTGGTGGTTCAGACTTGAGACGTGCCAGTTCTTATTTTCAGGTCTTCCTCCACGCTTTCCGCCTTGAAATCAAGATCGAGACTGTTGGCCTCGACCTCAGTGATGCGAAGACGCAAGAGTCAAGAAGGATGTGACCAACATCTCACAATCAGGCCACGACTCGTTCTTCATCCAAGGCACTATATATGATATACTCATCGAATTGGAAACGACCAAGAATCAGACCCTGGTAGAAGGACTCCATCTCTGCCTCATTCAGGGCGTCCCGATTTCCAACACACAATGTGAAAGTCCTTGTGACAATGCTACTAGTAGCTTCTTGTTACTAGTAGTATGGCCATGAGCCCCTAGTAGTGTCCTTGCTCCTAGTAGCGATGCCTATGCTCCTGGTTGACGAAATCAGCCACCAGTCACCATCGCCGTCGGGAAAACACTCCCACGGGGCGGCCGGTGCCGAGGCGCCATCGCCAGAGAATGTCCGTTGCTGGGCGACTTACTCGAGGCATTGTCCAACCGGTTCAGCCATTGAGTTGGTCAACGGTCGGGCGGGAGAGACACATGATTTCACCGACGAGACACGCGGCGATGAGTCATGGCACCTCTCTCACCAGTCCTGGTAGGTCGATACTCCTTATAGAGGAATCTGTCCACAGGGGTAAATCAGGGTGGCCGGGATTTCACCCACGGCCATGTGCCTGCTACTCTTGGGATCGTTGGATCCATTGGAAGCAACAGGGTGGCTCGGTCCCTTGGACCAAACAAAAGAACAGGACCGTCGCACTCATCAGGACGCGTCAGGTTCACAACTTGGGCAGATTTCGGTGCTTTGCGCGACGGTTTTGAGACATACACCTTTCACAATGTCGAGGCCCATGTTCCAGATCGACTGCGAGTTGCGAGGTTTTGTAATTCTGGGTCCAAGAGATGTGCTCCCAGCCAGTAAAAGGCAAACAGGCAAACCACCAGCTCAGCTCAGCGACTACCACGGAACCCCTCCGAAAACCATGCTGGATCCATCCATGAAGCTACACTTAGACTGATGCGAGGGAGCATTTGTTGAGCGGAAAAAAAATGGGATTTTTTCCTGCTCCCAGCCAGTGCAGGTGCTGCAGCACTTGCAGCCGGCAAGTTCCAGCGATCATTTGCAGATGCTTCGCGCCCTGCACGCCGCACCCTGACGGGCTCTCCACCTGCCCGTGACTGATGTGGAAGCCCCAAAAAGGAGCCCGGAACGAGCGAGCAGTGGGGAGGATCCAAGTCTTCCTGACTGTGGGATTCAGTGGAGCGAAGAGTCCTCCGCTGGTGCCAGTGTTCCTTTGGCTTTGGGCTTTGGGGTTTGTTGGTGCTTTCAAATCGATCCTTGGAGCGTGGAGTGAGAACCACCACCTGTTTCAAGCTCGGAAAAAACGGTCATCCGTAGACATCATGCCAAATCCACTTCTTCATGATTCCCATGGCGCGGATGTCGAAGAATCGATTTGGCAGGCAAGGACTCCATGGCGCGAATCCCGGTCTCGGTCGAACGTGGCGGTCCGTTTGGCAGATCTCCTTTGGCCAGGCCTTTGGTGAAGAGTGTGGACCCTGGTGAGCCGAGGCTCCCGCTTCTCAAGGACGACGATTGCCTTTGGCGGTAACAAAAGAAGAACCTATATTCTTCGTGCTGAAATGAAATACATCCGAAAAAAAACGAGATTACGGGGCCCGAACCCATTCAGGCATTGCGCCAAAAAGCAAACACATGTACAGGACCCCCATCAGGGCCGCACACCCAAGGGCTCAAAAAAGGGGTGTGTAGACGAGTCTACCCATTGCTTGGGGGTCTCCCTATTAAACTATGGATGGTTTCGTTTGTCCCGGAGGTTGGGCGTCTCCCATTGGTTGGAGGCCGATAGTCGAGCCTTCGACCGGTCGGCCGTCGCCTCCCTAGCCGTGTTGCTCGGGGAAGGTCTCTCGTGAGCGCTTGGTGGCCAGAGATCGAATGTGATAGATGGGCACCCAAGAAAGGACTGGAGGTTTGAGCCAAGAATTCTGCCTACATATGTTTGTACATGTTTGTAGCAGATATAGCCTCTATATCCCATGTCATTTAGCTTTGACCAGGGTTTCACACACCACTGTCTCCTGCATTTCGAACGCCTCCCCCAAAAAGAAGGTTTGAAACGCAGAAGAAACGCCTCGCCGGGGCCGGCCCAACGGCGGTTTGGGATGTTCAGAGGCCTTGAAGACGCCCAGGTCCAGAGACCTCTCCGAGTGGATCGAGCTCGTTTTGGAGGTCTCGATTTCGTCGTGCGCGCCGCGGCGCGCGGCGCACACAGCGCAGCGCGTTCAAGCGCTGATTTCCTCGCAGCGCATGTTTTTTGTGTGTGTTTGGTCGCTCGCGTGTGTTTCTATTGCGGGGGCAGGAGGGTTCCGCAATAGGCGGAGGGGTCCGCAATAGGCGAATCGGCAAGCTTCGGAAGTTGTTGTTTTTTGTTGATTTTTTGGGCGGAGTGGTTTTCTACTATATATGTTTAATGTTTATTAAGTAAATCATTACTTATTTACTTGGGATGATTGATTCCACTGACTCGTATGTTTATTATTATGTTTCGTAATGATTATGTTTCGTAGTCGTAAGTGAGTTGGCATTTGAAGCCAGCAACCTGTTTTAGGCTGAGGGGGGGGTATGGTGGAGATGATCCGTATGGATATATTGTGGATTATTGTGGACCTACCATCGGGCAGAACTTTGCGCTTGGTTGCACTGGACTGGCTAAACTGCAGGTTTCAGAGGGGAGGATAGTGGACATTTGACTGAGCTTCCCTGGATGTTTTTGAAATTGTTGGATGGTTTGTCTTTGCGTGCAGCTTGCAATCCATGCACACACATAACGTATAGCACCTTAGTGGAGACTGGCCTCCATCTTCTAAAGACTTTCCTCGTGGCGCACTATGTGCCCGCAGACCCAAGGCCCAGGGCCGTTGGGTCTTGTTCTAAGAGTCGGATCAAAAGTAAGATCCATTCCGCCGGTTCATTCCACATCCCAGACCGCCGACCATTCTTTTTTTGCTTCTGCTGAAGAGGTGCCGCGAGAGGACCAATACGTCCCACTGCAGCCACTGGGTGACAATGGGTGGAGAAGTCAGCACTCACCAGTGGTCTTTAACCTTAATTAATTGTTACTAGTAGCTTCTTGTTTCTAGTAGCGATGGCCTCCAACCTACTTGCGATGGCCTCCACCTAATATAGCGTCCTTGCCCGGAGTACAAGAATTATACTCCTAGCCTAAAAGGATCATGGTTATGTGGAGTTTGCCACCTGTTTGGTTTTCGGTTTGAACACGGTCATTTTTCAGGTCCAAGGGCCATGTTCCACTTCCGAGTTCAAGGTGGGCTCATGTGTCCAAACACGTGGGGTTCGGGTCATCAGCCACTGGTCATTGGCCGCAAGGGTTCGAAGGCCGGATGCTCCACTTAGCCATCGGCGGCTGGCGCGTCACGACAGCCAGCGCCGCGGCGCTTGCCACAAAGATGAACGAATCGGACAACTCATCCATCATCGCATACCTGGGCACGGTGATGGTGTGCAACCTTCCACATAGTGGACTGGTATTGAAGCCCACGGGGTGTGTGCCTAGAGGGGTTGCCCACCATGCCTGTGATACATTGAAGAAGTCTGCAGGTCCCGATGAAGAACATTTTCCGAAGGGACAGAGATGGACAGATCATGACAGATCTGCATCGGGCAGGCGTGTCTTATCTGTTTTAACATACCCAAAGAATCCCAAAGATCTAAAACGTCACAGATGGAGTAAGTACTGTTACCGTAGGAGGCACTTTACAGGGTGAATGGTGGTGAACTGATTTGTGTCTAGCCAAACATCGGTGAATCCGGTGTGTTCCCATGCGTCCCATGTGCGTTCTGTTTTCTATGCACCAGGAATGGGGATCAGAACATCTTTGCATGGGATCCAATCTATGAAGAAGCACTAAAGTGCTTGCACTTTAAACTATTGTTTGTAGGAAGAACACCTCGGACCTTTGATTTGGCAGGTCAAGCTATAATGAGATCGAGGTATCAAGAACGGACAAGGTCCACTTGGTGGGAAGCAAGACTAGGGCCTTAACCGGGCAAGAACTCGAGCAACAATAACTGCTGGACCCTTGAACAGCTGTACCCCAGCTGCTTCCAGGATTTTGGCAATGGAACTTGAAATCCCACACCATCCATGTATGGCATATATTTACATACATTGACCCCAACCTTCCATTTTCAACCACTGACCTCATCGGTCTTTGTATGGTCCGATCTGGGACCACAGCCCAACGGGCTGAACGGCGTGAGGCCTCGACGGGCCGAACGTGTTCGGAAGCAGATCTCCGCCGCGAGGTGCGGCGTTACCGGTGCGATGGCCCCGCCGTTACCGGTGACGAGCAAGTCTAGAACGGAGGTCCTGGCGGGCTCACTTTCCCCCGGCGTTGTGGAATCCGTGAAGCAAGCATGAGGCGTTGATGTGTGTTTCTATTTGTTTCCCCAAGGGTCACCACTTGAATATCGACGCAGACTCTACTGCTTTTTGTTTGAGGAGTGTCAAGAAAGCCAATCCAGCGGAGAACTGACCTTTGGCAATCCAAACATGGGTCTTTGCCCTTGGTCTGCGAGGTACAGCTATGAGACATGGTCATGTAGCCCAGGAATTCGTTTTTGCAGCCACAGCAGCAGCCAGTTCTTTGCAAATGAAGCTTAACTTACCAAATGTGTGCGGAATGCATACACTTAGTTGTGAGCCTTGATTACGTACTTCCCTTGAATCTGCTGGCACAAGGCATCATAAAGCCCATGAGTGGTTTGACACTGAGGTTGACCGTGACCCTGTCTCAACTGCACATCCCTCACAAGGCGCTGCTTCCTTTTTGTTCATTGCGACTCTCCGCTTCTCTTTTCTGCAGAAAATCTCTCAACACCGCTGTCAGATCCGAATAAAGGAAGGAGGTTGGATGAGGTTGGTTTGGGATCGAAGGAAGATTCCAGTGATTGATGTCAACGGACTGTTCGAAAGCCAGGGTCGAGCAGAGACTCCTTTACTGCTATGATTTATCAATGACATGGGACTGATTTAAGGCAATGTCCGGAACACATCCAACTTGGTTGCCTACTGTAAGCTTGGTATGGGCGGGTGTGGTCATAACAGGATTTGGAATGGCCTTCAAAGAAATCAAATAAATCGATTCTTGTTATAGTACAGTAATATTCAAATTCTTGTTATGCCCAGTGCATCCAGTTACCAGTATAGTAGACTCAACGCATAGACTCAGAGACCCAGGTTGTGCAGCTTCCTCCTTCTCTTGGGTTGTGAAGGTTTCATGTTTCACACTGGAAAGAGCTCTCTAGGCACCTGGCCGGGTCGTAGGGCGGCGTTGCCACCGGCATTTTATCAACCAGATGAAGGAAGATCGGGTACGGAGGCTGAGACTCGCCCGACCGAGACTCTTTGAGTCACACCGAGACTCTTTGTGTTGGACCGGTGACCTGCAGGTGACGTCCAAGCGTCAGACGCGCCGTGTGTGTTGGACGTCGGTGGTTTCTTTTTTTGTTGCACGAGAGTGAAGAACGATGGCGATGTGCCAGATGGGCCAGATGTGCCAGGTACAGCAAGTCTTGGGCTGCCATCGTGTGCCAATTGTCTTCAAGAAGCAGATGCACTTCATTGACGTGCTCAGCTTGGAGGCACCTGGCATAGATCAGCTTGACGTGCTGAGCTGAGGGGTGCAGCTTTAGGATCAGCTGCTGTTTGTGACATGTTTGCAGTAACCTTAGAGTCTTAAAGCAGAAAGGAGCCTGAAGTTCTGAAGTTGAGGACATGTTATACTCTCCAGTTTTCATGGACCAACCTCGTCACTTGCAGTTCACTTGGAGTCCTCAATTTCCAAGGCCGGTCACTCCATCACTCCAGGGTCGCAGCAAGCCGTTCGGGTGTCCTTTCCATTCTGGCTGAACGTACCCCGGTCCGCTCCGTTGTCCTGCCCGAGACGTCCCGGTCCGCTCTTGAACCGGGCTTCCTTCGACCCGGTCCGACCCGTCAAGTGCGTTTGGGTATACATCCCTATAGGGCTCCTGGCCCATATCCTCAGGATGTGGGCCAGGAGGTTTCTGGCACCCACCCCATCTTCTCAGGTGGGCCAGGAGCCCGGCATATACCTCGACCGAGTTCGGACGGTTTCCATTTCTACTGTCGAGGACGAGGAAACCGGGCTTTCGTCTCGAGCGGCGAAGCGAAGCGAAGCCCCGAAGAACGCCGAAGCCGATGCCGTTCCGCTGCTCATGTGGATCAGGTGAACCGTCCTGCTCTTCAATTCCCTATCTCCAAAACCATCCAAAACCACAATGCACCCTTGGGTTTTTCCATGTTTTTCCACCTCCCCATCATCCCCTTTCCTTCCTTTTTCCACCTCCAGCTTCGACCCCCAGCGACCAAGCTTACGGCACCCGCACCGCCGTCTCTCGGCTCGGCCGGCGTCTCTCGGCTCGGCCTCGGCAGGATCTCACCTCGCCCGCGCAGCGCCTCACCGGTTCCGCCGAGCTGCGACGGCGCCCCCCGACGGAGAGAGCCCGTGGGCGGGCTGCGTGGGCGGGGTGGTCTAGGTGTGGAGCAAGCGGTGTGAAACAGCGGCGGACGTTGGTTGGTGGTGTTGGTTTCAACTGCGTGTGTGTGTGTGTGTGTGTGTTTGTGAGTGTGTGTGTGTGTGTGTTTTTTTCTGCTTGTGGTTCTGTGATGTTCTATGATGTTATGTTTTGTTATTTTCTTTTTTTTCTGGCGTGGTGAACAAGTGAAAAAGAGTGGGTTCGGGCTTCAAAGGGAGATCAGATTGAAGTAAAGTTGAGATGTTCGTGTTTAAATCTATGTGTGAGTGTGTTGCTGTCATGTCGATTGGAGATGCTTAACGGTGTGTGTCTCCTTGATCACAATGACCGAGGTCAGTTGATGCAAATGGGCTGGGCCATGCACAGCATCCGTTTGCCGGAGCTTTACGAAGCAGTGAGGACTGGTACCTTGAGGCAGCTCACCATGGCACAGCGGCGAGGGACTCGTGGGGAGGGAGAAAGAACGGTTCCTAACCGGCCAGGGGGTTGTTTGGCCATCGATCCCCTTTACGGAAGGAACGTGTTCGTTTCATGCGGTCAGGTGATGGGTTGGCAGAGTTGTGTGAGGCCTGTTCGACTGTTTCCTGAGCTCAAAAGTCACCTTTTTGGGTCGTGGATCATCCAATGAGAGTTTCTGGTGAAAATCACCGGAAACAACCACGAAACCAACATTCGCTGGTCGAATTGATTCATCAAGCGACCTGTTCGAGGGCTGTGCATGCTGGGCCAAATCAAGGGTGACTGGTCTGCAAGCGTTGGACATGTGTCAGCAACGGAGCAGTCACAGCCAGGGATGCAGAGATGGTTTGCGGACCGGAGAGTACTCACTGGGTGAGTCCACTCATTCACAACTCTCTATGATATGCATGATTATGCCTATGTGGACTCTATATCGATCTCTATAGACTGAAGACGACTGTGTTTTCTTCTCAAGTTCTCTTCTTGAGCACCGTGAGGCTCGTGGTCTCCAAGCTGATCTCTTCGTTAGATCCCGCAGTCCACGCGCTCAGACACCGGGGCTCGTGGCGGCTCGTGGCGGCTCGGGCTCGGCGCTTCGGATCGACGCCATGCGACCCTCATCGAGGCCGCGCACACGGGCTTCGCCGAGCCATTGCAAAGCCAGAAGGCAGGTGGCCAAGCCGAGCCTGGTGGTGGGACATGGCGGGCGTGATGCCTCGCTGGGTAGCGGGGAGCTGAGCTAGGCGCCAGTTTCATGCCTCTTGGAATCCCATGTGGGCCACTTAGTGAAGCCTCTTTGAGAAAGAGCTGTTGGAGGGTAGGCACCTCGATCTCAGACCTCGTGGAGGTCAAAGGTTGAGTTGACCAAGCTTCCCCTCTCAAGAGAGGGGTTGCTATGACCCGGATACCGCACAAAAGACTCCAAACCTTGGATCATTCTGGATTGTGTCTGACTCCATGAGATGTTTGATGACATCACACAAAACCTCGGACCATCCCCCCAAAAATACCCTCCAACGCCCCCAGAACCAACGTCCCCTTGGGCCCGCCGGCGCCGCGACCACCGCGACCGCCGCAAGGCGTCGCGACCCATCCGAGTGCTGAACCCGTCGCGTCGACGCCGCAGTCCGGAGCAGGCGGGCAGTCGGGGAGAGGACCGGGAGGAGGCTTGGAGCCAAGAGCCACGGGTCTGGTACCAGACATGGTGCCAGACCATTTAGATCCCACGGTGCCACCATCGAATTCTGTTCCATGAAGAGGTACTGAAGAAGTATGAAGAAGTGATCAATGGGAGGGTTGTATGGTGTTGTGGTGTTGTAGTGTTTCTCATCGTTTTCACTGGGAGAGCTCCCAGTTGGAATTCGTGGAAGAAGGACAAAGGATCGACCAGTCCACCTGCTGAAGAAAAAAAACTCACGGATCGCTACTCAGCGATTACTCTGAAGAGTTTGAACAATCTATTGGACATTGAGAATCGCTACGCCCTGGAAGAGACCCACATGGAACCCGAAAACCACGTCGGGTTGTAGATGGCAGACTGTTTTCCAGTCTGGTCCATACCATCAGGTTCCATGTGGGTCTCTTCCCGGGTGTACCCATCAATGACTCAAAGCTCACCAAGCATCTGCCCGGCCCGCCCTGAAAAGCATGATGATATCATATAATTAATAAGGCTCTGGGACGGGCACTTGAGAAATCATGTTTGTGAGGTTCTTGACGTTTTCAGTTTCGAAGGCATCTAAAGTTCTTCGGGAGATGTTCACGGGTGTGACCTTGGCACGGAGCCTTCAAGTCTTCCAGACCATCATAAAGGAGAGAATGAGGATCCGGGGAATGCGCTTTGCATGGGCCCTTGGCATTCTTGAAATGTAAAGACATGTGATTCATTGTACCTTTCTTGGGCTGTGCAACCTTTCTGACGTCATTTGATTATTATTCTGGTGGAGAACAACAATTTGGACTAGAAGTTATCTATGTTTAATAAACCCTCATGGCATGGTGTTGAGCATCAAACTGAGAGCATTCCTATTTGTGGTTTGCATAGCCGCCATGCAAGAGCCTCAAAAGTCGTGTTTGAACCACTTGCAAGCCAGCCTGTAGAAGTCTTAACCAGAAGGTCTTGGGAAAGAAGGCAAAATTGCTTTGTCTTCAGTCCTTCAAAGTTTGCTTCCAAGAGACTCAAGACTCAAAGACCATTTAAATGGCCATTTTAAGTAAGTTATCCCAAAGACCTCAACAAGCCTTGCAGCATTTAACCTTAAAGGCGAATTCTAAATGTTCAGCACGATCTTCCAGCTGAATGGCAGAACCAGTTTTCCTGTCGAGGTGCACAATTGGAAGCCTCGACTGGGTCGTTTGAAGCGTCAACTTTGGCCTTATCAAGCATCCCAACGTTTTGCTTAAACAACTAGGATTGGATTGCAGGTGTCTATGCTAAGTCATAAAAGATGATGTACCATGATGAACCTCTCAAAAGAAGTGACCAGGCATTCTTGTTGCCCTTGCTAGTCTCGCCATGACTGTGGCGCCGCACTCTTTTCCGTGCGTACAGGATGAGTTCAGAGATGATTTGGAGGACTGATTTAGAGGGACCGTGCGTATCGTATGAACTTTTCAGAGAATGAGGAGGCCAAAACCCAGGCTGCGTCCTGTCCACGGCGCAGTCTAATGTCCAACCAGTTTGATTAATTGTGTTGAGATGTTTCAATCAAGAAGTGAAACATTCTGGACATGTTGCCCATCGCACCTTGCGTTGCTCGTTGCTCGGTGCTGCGCAGTCGGACTGCGTGGGAGCGGCCCACGTTGATACTGAACGGCCTACCCTGTAGGAAGAAACTTGAGGCCTACCCCACCCTGTAGGAGGGGTAGTGTATGTTTGTTGTATTTGTTTTAAATATTGTTGATTGTGTCTAAGAATATCATATATTCATGATTTCTTGCGTTCGTTCCGTCGTTCATTCCTTATTCACCGTCATAATCGACATCTCCAAGTCTCAAAGGCGTAACTTCTCGGCACCGAGAGCTTCGAGACGTTGAACTGCGTTCTTCAACGTGCAACGGGACTGCAGGACGGCTTAAGTGTCCACGGCGATCCGCGGATGGTGGGGCGCCTAAAGGTAAGGAGCTGGCCATCGATGGCATGCGCGGTATGTCGGTGGCTGCAAATCATGTGCGGTATCAAGAAGATGACTCAGAGGTGATAGTCTAAAGGACCAGGACGGCTAGATACGGTGGCTGTAAAATGGTATAGTTTGGTGATATTAATACGACATTATAGTGTATATATTGTAGAATTGTTTTTCAAACTTATATATATTAGACACATGCCTGCCCCGGGATTCCAACCATTGTACAAAACCAGGTCCACCCTTTTTCAGTTGAACGGGCTCGGCGCCGCCCGGCCGTCTTCAGGCGAAAGGCGGGACACTCGACCGCCCAGGCGTTGCATCAGCGAGCGATGCATGCGATCGCACAGTTGGAAACCCGATCCGAAGAAATGAAAAAGAGGTGCCCCAGCTGCTGCGATCTGGCCGGGAAAGTGATGCGGATCAACAACGAAATGTCCGACAGGGGTGGTATTTGGGCCTCCTCAGACAGTATTTGGACCCTCCAAACCCCAAACACCATCGAAAGGAAGGTACTTGGAGCTCTAGGGTTCCCTACAGGTCAAAGACCTCATTTGACTGGATCCGGTCATGCAAAGCCAGTACTCAATGAAGTCAAGGACCAGGTTAAACTTGGCCTTTGGACTTGTAGGGGTTTGTCAAATATCGAAATATATTATTCATGATACTAAATGACAATCCTTGCCATATATCCAAATATATATATATATATGTAATATCCTATGAGTCAAGTATAGATTCATGTCATGTCCTTTTTCTCACCTTTGATAATACAGGTCCTCGTCTAAAGTGATTTTGTTGTGTACCGCAGACTTTTTTCATAGATCATGAATCTTGGAAGAGCATGTTCTCGCTACAAGACAATGTGTTTTCAGCTTTTGTTGCATCATAGTGAGCAAAATGAATCATTATCATTCTGAACTTGACTTGTGTAGTATCCGTCATCCTACCAATATGGCATGATGTAGTCGGTGTCATTTATGCCACACCGTGGTGGTTGATAGCTTCGGGTTGCAGTTTGGTTCATCCTGGGATGGACGACTTGATGACTGGCTCGGTGAAAGCCTGGAAGCCTCGGTGACGCACCGTTCCGTCGCCGTGACGCACTCACCGTTTCGGATGGTCGTGTTGTGACCGTCTTTTGTTGGGAGTCCTGTTTTGTCCGAGTCTACCAGTAACAAGGATGCCAGTCTGGGTGGAGGCGCAAGTAGGTTGGAGGCCATCGCTACTAGTAACAAGAAGCTATGCCGAAATCGCGTGCTGAAATTGCACGGATGAAGCCAGTCCCAACCAGACCGAATGGTGACTGGAGAAGCTCTCTGATTATTGTCTTTCAATGTTCCCTCAAGCCCATCTTGCGGACGAACCTGCGCAGTCATTGAGCTTCAGGTTAATTGGCATGAGACAGACACCTGCTGAAACCCTAGCTGGCCAGGATAGTCGGCTTCATGTTGCCCATTTACTTCTCAGCTGCCTTTTTTTTCACAGCTTCCACATGCTGCGTCACAACAGTGTCCCACAAAGAGCGCAGATTGACATGTGGACTGCCTAGAAGAATTTGCTTGGAATCACCGAAGTCATGCTGCCATGGCTGCTGTTGCCGGCCACCCGAATTATATATATAGATGTCGTGCGTCGTCGCTTACTCCAACGTAACAACGAAAGAGGACGCAACAACTCGCTGCTGTTTGACACCTTTATAGGGATGTTGATGTGCATCCTTTCGACGCAGATTCTTTCTCGGGCGACCAAGGATTCCGACACAACACTTCCAACCTTGTGACGTCTCTGTCAATCTCCACATGGAAATATGTGAACATGTGTGAACATTTACATTCAGCTCCGACAGACAGACTAAGAAAAGCACGTGTTCTTATAGTTTGTTGAGCAGAATGTAATATATATATATATATACTTGCACGACTTGAGCTGTATTTCCTCTAAGGCAACTGCTTTCGGTGCCGTGTTGGTGGCCAACAACTTTCAGAGATATCCAGGCGCCGAGCTGATCACAGAAGTTTCGGTGCAGTCCTGATTGATGAATGAATTGCTGTCATGCCAGTTGAGTTATTTGAGTAAACCACTGGTGCAGCGACCGAGGAAAACAGTCTCACTCAGGGTGCCAGTCGAACCGGTCCATGTGAGTTTTCGGGAGTGTATATATTTAAGAATATGTAAAGGTTTCGGATATTTTTATGTTCAACCCTTACTTGGGGATGATTGGACCCTCTGACTAGTATTTTTCAAGTGGGTTGAAAACCCCAACCACCGTCCTTCACATGCCCTTCGGACATGTCCTACCATGTCCCCATGTCTATGGTTTGCTTATCAGCAAGCGCAGTGCACCAGTGGCTGGCAGGGTACCAGGGAAGCTTAGAGGTGGAAGGCAGCGTGAATATCTCCAAGGCAGGCTTTGGAATCCAGGCCGGGCCTGCAATCCTGGGCAGACGCAGATGTGGGCTCCGTGCATAGACGTTGCAAAGGTATTATTCAGTTCCTTGACCACTTCAGGTAAGAGGATCTTTAAATGAGCCTTCCGGAGGAAAAACCACGATAATCTGGGTTCTTCCATGTTCTTCCAGGTCATGGAACGAAAGAACTGAACGATCCTTGTTGAACTGAACGGAAGAAACGTCGCCAAATGACGCACCAGGTGCGGTGTCGGTTTTCGCAGGTTTCGCGAGCTTCGCAGTGTAGTGAGTGTGAAGACAGAGCCTTCATAAAGGGGTATGGATTCCATGGGATGTGGGTTTTAAGAGGGAGACCCCTCTCGCCCTCGCCCCAGGGTTTTGAATGCGTTTGATTTATGTTCCTTCTTCCAGGTGGGCTATGCACACCCATATCACAACTTATGAAGGAAACGACCAAACCCAGTGGCATTCTTTTCGCCTCTGAGAACCCCGAGGTCGTATCTTACGCATTGACTGGCGTTGATCCAGTGTGTGGGCAAAGTGACTGGGATTTGGACATCTTGAGCGTCAAAGTCAAGTTCCATTTCTTAACTTTTGGAGGTATTTCCCGTGCCTGAAGGGTCAAAGTCAAAACCATTGCCTTCAATGATGAATGTGGGATCATTTTGGAGTCCATTTTGGAGTCCATCTTGTTCTGGGAACAACATCCCGGTCACTATAAACTCGGTCCAGGTGAGTTGCTCGGGGTCGGTTGTGGCTGGGTGGGGTTGTGCGTGGATATGTGTGGTTGCTTCATGTTTGTTTCCTTTGCCAAGTTTGTTGGAATTCGGACTTCCATGGAACATGAGTCGAAGCGATATATCACTGGGAACCTCTTGAACCTGATGTCAAGAAAAAGGACCTTCCTGAGGAGTTTAGGACTCGGTGGCTGGACTCACCAAACATCCCTGGAGTGTTCTCCGGTCGCACTTCAGGGGTCGCCTGGTCCAAGTCATTGGTCGAAGTGTGCATGCGCTTACATGCATACACCGAAGAAACGGGCCTTGTGTTTGCCTCATGAGCTACATTGGTCATCAGGTTCCTTGTCGCGTGGCGGTGGTTCGTGCCAAGGTAACACGTCGCAAACACCAAATGCCTGCGGCATCCATGTGCACAGTGGCAACACATGCGAAGACGCTGGAGGCAGGGCCCCTGTGCTCAAGAGAGCCTGCTTATTGGCGAAGTTGATCTGGTGGGATGTGCCAGAACCCTGTGGGTTTTTATCCCCTTTCACTTTCCTCCCCACTCAACCTGATCGATTCTGCTGGGGAAAGCGTGTCCTGTTTTTGCCCTTTTGCCTGAACAACAACCGGAAGCTGCCGAGGTCATTTCTTCAACGACTCCGTCGGTTTAGACCCATGGAGTCTCGGACCCATCTATAATGCCTCCTCACCCTCTGCCCAAGTGCCCCTCGGAGCGGAACGGAGCGGAGGAGTTCGACGCTAGACCGCTCGTTGGAGGTGCTAGTGGAACGAAGGAGGGGTTATATAAGGGGGCGGGTAGTGGAGCGAGAGGGGAAAAAGGTGAGGTTGGGATTGGGATTGGATGGCAGGAGCCTTTTTGAGGGACTTCTTTGAACATGTTCACATATTGGCTGCAGATGGATGAAACATGGAAGATGTCTCGTGCATGGTCTGCTTTTGTCAAAGGTTGTGTACGCATCCAACCTGCTCATCCATCTAGCCGTTGAACCCCATGTTCCTGGTGCTCACACGGAGGATGTGCCAACGGGCCGTTTTGGCCGCCTTCCTTTGTAAATTGTTTAAAGGGATGCAAAGCGTATGACCAATATGGCTCCTCTTGTCGCTAGGTCTTTTGGATGCAACATGACACCAATAGAGCTTCCGGTGTCGCAGACGTTCCTTTCAGCCTTTCCTTTAAGGTCCATTGCGACGGGCATAAGCATCCGTGAGATGGGCGGGAAGGCGGGTTCCGCGAAAAGACCGGAAGGTCGATCCCTCGATCCCAGGTGGCTGATTCCATCATTTCGATCTGTGAAAGGTCAATGAGGTCAATGACCAATCTTGTTTCAGGCGGTTTCAGGGTCACGGAAGGATCTTCAATTTGTTGGAGGTAGTTGAACTGGAGTGTTGGGACCTGCGAGTCCAGCTCCAAGAGAAAATGGAACGACGAGGAGACGAGGACAGTAAACACCTTTTGGCCGAAGCCGGGATGTCCCTTCAGCTTCCAGCAAAGGCCTATCACTATCACTCACTTGCCCACACATACCCCTCTGATAGGATATCATAGAAAAAAACTAGAAGATGCTAGAAGTCTAGAAGTGTTCAAAATCCCATGCTGGGTGTTATGAGTGAATAACACAGAAAAGAACATAAGAATTTTTGAGTGACTGTGGTTCTCGAAGAAACCCTCGCCCCTGTCCAGCTATGCTTTTGCAACCACTACTTCAAAAATGCGAACCCAGGCCTTCAAACCTATTCATCCTATAGAGGATCCGCCCCTAAAAAGACCCAGAAACTCTGTGAATTTCACACATTCACAGGTGCTGGTGGTCCACGATTCCTCTGGTGGCCGTGTGGCCTGTTCCTCATTCCAGCCGCATGGCGATCTGGCTTTCTGGCATCTGGGTGGTTGCTACACCGAACAGGCCGGGTGGAGACGCTCCGTTTGACGGACGTGTGCAGCGGACAGCGTGTGTTCATACCTATACAGCAGAGGGACATTCAGAAGGGCTCCACCATGGGGAACAACGTGGTGATTTTGGGAATCACATCATGATGTGGAAGATCACCTGTTCATGAGTTTGACAGATCGTAGACCGGCTGACACCGCTCAATGGGATGATGTGTTGTAATTGACGTGTTTCTTCATGTCAAGTCAGTTGTGTGGATGCCTGGATTCTTTGTGCTCTTATACTGTAATTATAATCTTATAGTGTGCAGGTGTCTGTTCAAATGAACGCATGTTCTGAGTGTCATGAATTGCGTCATGAACCGGAAAAGACACCATCAAGTGACTGGCTCAGTCGTTTGACCTGGACACGACAAGGGGTCGCATTTTGGAGAAACAACTGGATTCGACAGGGTGTTTTTGTTCTCCTTTGCGAAGCGCTGGAGGACTGGCGTAGTCAGTCATGGCTGAACTTCACTGGTGCCTTCAGGCGCGCGTGATATTGTGGCGCCGGAAAGAAATAAGAGTTATATAACAGCTGAGCATGGGGCAAGCGGAATGTGCTGCCAAAGCTTTTGGTGAGTTTGCCACCCAATTCCTCACCAAAAAGGGGAGGGGCACACCCCGTGGTTGATAGAACAGGTGGAAAAAGGTATGGCTATAATAACAACCCCTATGTTCCATGGCTCGGAGTAAGAATTGGTTTGTTGGCCATGACGTGCAGTTCTAGATTGATCCCCCGCTGCATGATCTTTACGGCGAGCAGAAACGGAGCCCTAGCCTACTTCGTGTAAGCGGTCACTCTTTTCGGAGAGGTGGTTTCTTCAATCCTATTTCATCCTATATTCCCAAACTGGCAAACCAAGGACAGACAAAAGCGCCCAAGTCAGTCTTTGCCGACTTTGTGTTTCGTCTCTCCCGGCTCGCTCCTCCGAACCTGCCAGCCCGGTCCCGACCGTCTGAGGAAAACCCAGCACAAAGACTTAAACTTAAACCACCGAAGCACCTCACTCCCAGACACGATCCGGCACTCCACCGATTCGGAGCTGCCTTCGTTTTACGGCCCGCAAGGGTGGTTGTTCAGTACGGGGTCTGTCGACAGGGTCCGACCGTCCGGCCGTGCCAGACTCGGAGCTGTGTCCGGACCGGTCGTGACCGCGGCAAAAGCTCCGTGGGACGGTCAGGCGCTGTGGGCCCTCGGCGGTGTGTGTGGCCGAGCACGAGATGTGCACGGAGGGCTGTTTCGCGGACGAGCAGTGCGAGATGTTCCCCATGCGGATCTGCGACCGGGGTGAAAAACTGGAACTGGCCTATACGAGAAAGAAGGAAAAAATATAAGCATGAGCACACATTGAAGCTGGACAATGATCAAACGAACATATACCAGCTTCTTCAAAGTGACCTTTTGAAGGTTCCTAAGTGACCCTTAGGAGGCTTAAGTGACCTCAAACCTAGCTTATATTTTCTGAAGTTTTGTGGTCCAATGTGTTGAGACTAAGCAGCAAGTTGTTCGGCCCAGTGATGGCATCTAGAGCTTGAAGATGCTTCAAGTAAGAGCACGCACTACATACATCTACATGCTATTGGGCCAGTTGACGTAGTTTGCTCAACTCAGGGTCCCCAAACAACTAGAGGCACAATATGAAGGACCCATTCGACATTCCTGGAATTGGACGTTTGATGTTTCGTTTCTTTCGTTCAAAACGTCCACACCGGTGAGTCGACACCCGCTCCGCTCCTCGGTTTCCTCGTTCCGACACTCGTGGTGACAAGAAACCATCCAACCTCAGTGGGGAAAACACCTCGCTGCGGTGGTCTCGAGGTGACTCCCAGCTGTCTCGATGCAAACACAAGCCGCTCTTTGGTGTCTTGGCTACAGCTGCCAACTACGCTGCAACAACCCGTCGTCGATGCGTCGATTGGGCTTTTTTATCGTTCGTTTCGTAGGTTCTGTATGAAAAAGGCCCCATCACTGGTCGACCTCGGTGACATGTCCGACATGGCAAAATATCTTGAAAAACATACGGTGTTCCCTTATTATGGTGCCTTGCTAGCAAAGGCGATGCTGAATAAAAGGTCATCTCACTCCAAAGGCAAGCAGCATTCAACATCATGCAACAGTCAAGTTTTGGGTCAGACCCTCAAAGCCTGTCAATGCCTGTCCCTTCCTCGAGGGCTGGTTGGAGGCAAGTAGCTGGGCCAAGGTCTCTGGGTTTCAGAGCAGATAGCACAAACCCCAAGATGTCTTTTGGATGGGGTTCCTTATGAACCACCTTTTGGGAATTGCACCATCTACTCTGAAACCACTGTGAGAGTCCAAGCCGAAGATTTGCTCGAATTTCCCCAGCCCCACTTAGCAAAGATTCGTATCCATCTGCATTCGATTGAATTTGTCAGCTGTGAGTTTGTGAGCATCAGTTTTGTGCACAAAAAGGTGCAGCATCTGGTGCAGATGTGGCGGCAGCCATCATTTTTTTCCTCATCAGTGGAGACTTGGCAGTTTGAATTGGCTTGCCTGTGAGGTTTGTTGCAGGAGTGCTCATCTTGTTGACGATTTACCCAGACATGTGCTTCCATAGGCCATAGAAAATCAAGATGTTCCACTATGCCTATGTGTTCCTGACATTTCCTGACTATGGCCTTGAAACCAGGATTTTCTGCAGCAGGATGCAGCAGGAGATGGAGCCACCCAAGGATAACAAGGTAATTGTATAGATTGAACTGAACATACGAGAGCTACATAGAGCCACCATTAAACCTGGGATGGCATCGGGAGCACACAATTGGGCACAGCGGCCAGCTCTTGGATGGCTTTTGTATCCCATGGCATGGCATGGTGTGATTTTAATGAGGTACAGATGACTGGCATGGACCATATATGATCATATATGGCTGCACGTGAAGCCCAAAGATATTTTTCGGGTGGGGTGGTTTAACCAACGAGACCTCTGTAGCTCGGCCTATCTACCCAAGCCGCTATCGACCCTGCGTCGTGTCGTGACGCTGGTTTGTTCCACTCTCACTCCAGTTCGTTCTAAGGATGTTCAACCTGAACAGGTCTACCAAACTCCTTCAGGTTGCAACTGAACGGTGAGTGGTTGCTCATAAAACCTGGTCCTGACAATTCCATATTCGTGGTGTGACTTCGGACTGAAGAGTCAAGGCGGGTGAAGTCCCACCTGATCTGTAGGGAACTCTTCAACTCTGGTTCCAGTTGAACGAAACTTCCGGGACGACCAATCCCAAGGGCGAGTTCTACTAAAGCGACCAACCCTCCCACGCCCACGTCGGGGCCGAGGCCTCGCCCTGAGCGCGGGTATTGGTGGTGGTGGCTTGTATGTGCCACTCTTGATGGTGCTTCTAGGCCAGAGATCCTTTGCATGGGCCTCCATGCGTACTGGAGCGCGTTTGGTGGATGACTTCCCCAAAAACACACGAGGACGCAGGATGGCCAGGATGGCCAGTGTAAGACCAAGTCATTCTGTAGGATTCTGATTCTGATTGTACTTGGGAACTTGGCCAGTCCGGTATGCCAATGGACCCCAGATGGATGCTGAACATGAAGAACTTGGGAACGCACCCCTCTAGCTTCTCATAGCGTTTCAATAGTTTCCAGAGTTCCTACTGCCACGCACCGTTCAGTTACAAAACACCCTCCAAACTCCCAACCTATATCTTGGCCGATGGATTCCTGTCCAAGAAAAATTACATATGTGATGTGTGTGTGGTGCATCAAATCCACCAAGATCCAAAAAGTCCGTCGGTTGGAAGCCTTACTGTTACTAAACGGTCCCAATACCAGCTGAATATGACTTTCCCTGCCGGGCTGCCTTTCCAAGAACAAATGACATGGGTTCTATTGTTGGCCAATGTCTCCCATCGGCCCCAGCCATGGCCCAGCTCCTCGACGTCACTTGGCAGGTTTTCAAATTCACGAAGCCACTGGACTCTCCCAGTCTTGCTTGGCTGGAGGAGAAGTTCGGCAGTGAAGTCTGAGACGGAAAGGAGATCGGTCTTTGAGAGGTGCAACTCATGAATTCCGATCGAAGCAACCTGGGGATTGCTACGAAGTTCCTTTCTGATTGGTTCGAAGAGTTCCGTGAAAGATTTGCCGGTGACACGAGGAGCCAGCAGCGCCCTGATTTACAACCTGCGGCAGCGGCATCCATCAGGGCAAAAGCCGATGATTGATTACGACTTGGTGTTTCTTTGGCTCATGGGGGCTTTACCGGTAGTCGACGAGTCAACTGCTGGGTTTGTGTGTTTTGAAGAAATGTAGGACTCACATAGAAAGGACGCAGAAAGGACGCCGCGCGGACGCATGATGTCTATGTTTGAGGAGTGTCCGGTGAGCTTGGGGGTCATTGGATCCTAGTATCATTCTCTTTTGGGTGCCTCTTGGGAGTGATGCCATCCAACTAAATACTTGGTTCCTCCGGAGTTGAATGATCCTCACAAAGAAAAACACCGACCCCCTACATTCTTGATTCTACCAACACCTTGCTTTCAAACCCTAGAAACATTAGCATGACAAACAAATATGTGTCAAATCAGTTTGAACATGTTTTCACCGTTGGACCAGCTCTGTCTTTCTGCTTGAAATGACTGTTTTTCATTGGCACCATTTCGAAGGCTCATCATGGGCCCGAACCTGCTTCTGGGCGCCATGGTCCGGTTCTTAGAGCCCCAGGGGCATGGGAATTCATGCCGATCTGGGCTTTTCCACCACACAAGTGTTTCCACTTGTGTTCGAATGGCTTCACGTGGATCTGAAGCCAGCCACTCCTCATGTTTCTGAGCTTTCACGGAACTTAGGTCGGTAGTTTCTTGAACTTTGCTTTGCCCTCCTGGCTGATCCTTTTGCTCCTGATTACCATTCTGGTGCATTCCGTCTTCAAGACCTTCAAGAAGGCGCGTGCAACCCGAAATATGTTTCTGGATGCCTGAAAAGTAGCATGTTATCCTATAGTTGCTCTACAGGCAGCTAAAAAGTCATCAGTTGTCATCAACACCAAACAGCCTATATATATCATTATATATCTATATATTATGATGCTTTATTATATCATAGCTTCTTGTTGCTAGTGGTAATGCCTATGTTGTTTGATCAGCTTTCCATGCGCCCAACTTGCACATCTCCCTCTCCGAACACCCAGCGATTCGTTTCCTCGGACCTGATCTGCACCAACCACAGGCGCTGCAGACCTTGCGGAAGGAGCGCGAGGGGCACGTGGCCGGACTGAAGCCTGGTAGCTCGAAGCTCAGCCCTGTAGTTGCTTGAGGTGGAAGGTGGGCAGTAATTGGATGGTTGGAAGAGTGGAACTCGTATCATGACATCACCATGAATTCGCGGAAGGAATGGACATTGGAGCCGATTGATAAAGTGCATGTAGCATGTAACATGTCATCAGACTCAGAGTGAAGTATTCTGATCAACAGTGAACCCAGACTCCGACAGCAAAGTTTGAACAATGTGTTGAATAAACAAAAGCATCCAGCGGTTTAATCTTGGAGTGGTTTGGTTCGTCACATCCGTCGGGGCTGGGATATGATGTGAGTAGTCAGGGCACACCTCCATTCGTTCAGCACCCAACCCAACTCCATAAAACTCCTGGATGAGAAAGCTACTGGGAATCAAACATATTCCTACTAGTAGCAAGAGCATTTCTACTAGGAGCAAATCGCTACTACTGTAGATGCTACTAGCAACAAGAAGCTACCATGTTGGTTCCCTTTGGGATCGCCCAGTCGCTTCGTCAGGCGATGCCCGGCTTTCCAAGAACCCTGTGGAGCGATGTTTAAGGTCCGGAAAAGCGAGGGCGACGGTGTCCAAAGTGGTGTTTCAATCGGGCGGATTCCAAGAGGGGTGCCAGGAGTTGAAAGAAATTTTGAGATGCTATGTACATATGCTGTATATCTAGATATATATATATATTATAAATAATATAATATATATATATATTTCTTATGTATACTATGTACATATATATATAAGAGGTTACTTCTGGTGACTTGTCTTAAGAGGCTACTTCTAGGTACCCTTTGGAAGGTGCTGGTACATACTATGCAGAGATTCGTTTCCGAGGACCACTGTTCGATGGACGTCCAGCCGCGTCGGACGTTGGCAACTGCGCCCGGAGGCTGATCGGCTTGGGCAAGCGCTACGCGGAGTTCGAGGAGAGAGCGCCCAATGCTGAACGACCCAGTGTCGTGGGACGAAGCGTGGATGCAGGCGAGAGAAGGGTCGAATTTCACGAAGGGTCAGTGGAGATGGAGGTTCTGTGTTTGGAAGATGTTGACGTCATCTTAGACTTGATCACTAGAAACTCGGAGTTAACAGTGAAACCCTCTTCATATTGGGAGGGTTATTGATCAAGAGTCTACATCAATATAATCAACACTTCCCAATGAAAGAACATCGGAGGAGGTGGTCGGTCTTGTTCATGGCGCCTCAGTGGCTCAGTCGCTTTCTGCCGGGCCAATCCGCACACATGAGAAGGCCAAGCCCCGAAAACTCGAGGTCATATGAAATCACACATGTTCCGGTTTCCATCCACCATTGATTCAATGGTCCGAATCCCAAACAACCATTGCTTTTGCGGATTGGACGCTAAGCCCATCGGGTCGGACTCCCAGGGTGCGAGGCTTCGGTTGCACCGCGTTCTCCGCTTCTTCGGTCGGCGATGGAACCGGAAAGAGGTCGTTGCAGAAAAAGTGCCGAAACCCCCAAGACTAGAAAGCGGACAATTGACAAGTCTCTATACCAGTCATAACACTTGCTTAATAAGAAAAGTGGTCACCAATTGTTTCAGAGACGAATGGAGAGAGGTGGCCCAAGCTCTCTAGAGGGACACGCCGTTGGAGTGGCGAGTTGAGGGAGCATGACGGACCCGTCGGACGGAGCGTCGGATTTGGCCAGGGGATGTGAAGCTGGAGTTAGACCTCGGCGCAGGCAGGGTTTGGCAGAGTTTGCTAGTGGGATTCCATCTGTTTTGGTAGAAGGAGATTGGTTGACATATGCGAATTGAAACGACATTCTGCAGACCATCTGCAGCATGCAGAACCTATCCCATCTCAAGAATCTGCGCTTGCAGCAATAATCCTGGTCCAGCGCAGTAGTAATGCTTGTGTGGTGAAGAACCATGAAAAACCACTTGCTTTGGAGTCAGCACAGAGCCGGCAGAGCCCAGGCACAGTCGCTACCAAGCCGGTGGAGTTGACGCCCAGCGATCAAGTGTCCGTGCAAAGCCTGCAAAGCGTCCACAGTGAGCCGCAGTATCCAAAGGGAAAGCTGGCAGGTGCGGGGGGTGGGGAGGGGTAGGAACTCGCAGATAGATATATAAGAAGATGATGAACATATATTTATGAAGATGCAAGTCCAGAGGTCAGATCTTGGGGCTGATCTTGTTTCATCCTTGTGGCACTTGGTCAGAGCTGGACTATGAGATCTGATCACTGAGCAGACTTCTGGAAGCCACGAAGCAAGGAGTGTTCACCTGCGGTGTCCTGTCCAAACAGGCTGAGGATTCAGGATTGATTGACTTTCAGAGGCCTATTCTTGAATTCTTGAGGAACACCCATGGAAGTCACATCAGTTCAACGATCACCTCAGAAACTCGACTAAGAAACCTCACTGAGTCCTAGACGTTGCAAAACGCGTTGTGAAAACGTCGACCGGTGAGGATTCTTGCTGATGTGGCTGGTCGTGGTGGTCAGCATCCTTTTCCGCGGGGGCCATGCTGCCCCTGGGATCGTCTCCATGTGTTCTCCGATGCAGCTGGGCTGTAGCGAGTGAAGACCGAAGCTTCGACCCGTTTCGGACGTGACGCCCCTGAAAAGGACCACAAGGATGTGGGTGTTGGTCCCGCCACGTACTTGCACACGTCCACTTAAGACTCGACGTCCCCCATCTTCAGAGTGTGCCCCCTAAGTTTTGCACGGTGACATCTGCTAAGATCTGCACATCACAGCATGCAGGTATTGGGCTTTTGCGTTGGCGACGGCCATCATCTTGCTTTTACTCAGTGCAGCCTCCTCTTGTATGGCTGGGCAGGATGCAGGTGCACTTGAGGGAAGAGTGACACATCCATCCTGGAGAAGCAGGCTCTAGGCTAAACGGCTTTGGGCGCTGCTGTGCGCTTTGGGGATGCTACGTTCTCTCACAAAGACTATCTTAGCCGACTTGTGATGGGCATGGCAGGTCGACCCATGAAATCGCATAGAACCACAGTTCAGCTGTAAAGCTTGTCTGACGACCTGAAACTCTTCAAAAACTCCTGCAGTACAAGCAGATGGCAGCCTTCAGTGGACGCCACGCTCTCAGAATTCAGACAGTTCATGTCTAATGTAGACTTGAAATCTTAATCAAAGGAGAGGGGTATTATTCAAGAGTCTTTATTATGGCTGTTAAGTACATAGAATTTCCCATGAGGTTGCTGTGTTGGTGGAAATGAAGGAAGAGGTTGCTGCATCCCCAAGCCCTTCTTGGACTTCCTACATGTTCCTACCATAGTACCCCAGACTGGCCAAAATCCAGGCAGAGCCAGGAAAAACATGTCAAACTGGCAACTTGGCATTTGAAACGCCAGAAGCTCCGACGTTGCATTCAGTTGTTGTGAAGATAGTGAAAAATGTGGGCTTGCAGCTTGCACGGTTGACCAAATTTAAACCCGCACCTCGGAGCTTGCCCAAACACGGAGGTTGAAGACGTCTCTCTATGTCTCTGTTTGGTCGCTCCTCGTTCGGCCTCTCAGAACAGCGCCGCTTCGGTTCGGGTCGCCGTTCGGTGGCGGTGAATACCCTCCAACGTCCGGTTGAAGGTGTATGTTCAGGGGGCATCTTCCACTTCAATGCTTATTTCGGGAGTAGTTTAAATGTTTTGAATGAAGAAGAATCTCCAGGGAGGCCCTGCAGATGTAGAACCTGTAGATGTAGATCCTGGCCGGGGAGACTAATTAACATTAAGTAGATTTTGGCTTTAGTGGATCCTGGTGAGATTCTCAGATGTCCAAGCCTGGTGCCGCAAGGTAAAATGAACATGAAAACATGTTTGCAGGAGACATGATCATATATGATCATTTTTGCTCTTCAGGTTGCACCATGAAACCCCTTTTTCTGAGTCCGCGTCCATTTCCTCAGCCTTTTGCGGCCATACTGAGCCTGGCCTTGGAGGCTGGCACCATGGCTGCACTTTGTGGCATTGGTGGTGGCATGATCATGGGCCAGGTGCTCAGGTGACTTCATGGCACAGAGGACTTGGAGGACTTTGGGTGACGAAGTCACACCTGGGCAGCCAGGGGCCTCCTCCAAGGGCCAAGTCTAATGGTCCAAATAAATCAGAAATCCATTTTGTCTGAAGGGTTTCAAGTCCTAAGGACGCATTGCTTACCCCATCGCGACCCATTTCAGTCATCAACGTGGAGTCAGATGACCCAAAGTTGCATATCAGGCATTGACCTGGTCATCAACGGATGGTTTTTGTCCAGCCAATATGGGCTGTGAGTTACATCCCTTATCAACCCTAGGGATCCAAGTACCTTCTCAGAGAGTATGTGGATCCCTAGGGCAAAGGATTTCTATGGATTTCTTCATTTCACCCACCCTGGACCCACGGTGCCCAGTTGCCCGCCATGGCCGCCGTCGTTCGCGCCATGGCCACCGAGCTTCCCAGGGGATTCCCGTCGTGCCGCGTTGCGACCGGTCGGCATGAAGGGCAGTGGAAAGGAACGAAGAAAAACGCGGGCAGATGGCCTTGTACTCTTGCTATCTCTTGCTTGGTTGATTTTTATGGGGATCCCTCCACAGAATCTATATATAACTAAATCGACCCCTCGGTGGGGTTGTATTTCGGAGCAGCTCCCAATCCAAAAGATATCACCGCTATGTCAATCTATGTGACGTGTTTTTCTTGGCAGGACGGCGAGGTTCCCCCTAACCCTGCCGACCACAGCCGATGAAAACGTCGCTTCGACCCGAGGTCCAAAGCTCTTAGACTTGGGCTGTTTGCCACAGGCCGGACGTCGCAGCAGCGGAGCTGATCGGTCAGCATCCCCTTCCCCCTACAGGCTCCTAGTGGTTTGGGGTGAAGCGATGTTCAGCAACTGAGCTCTGTAATGGACATGATGCGGAACCCATGAATGCGGAACCCATGAAGTTTGGGGGTTCAGTTGTTTGGCTGCAGTTGAAGTCTCTTTTGTTGATGGCATGTGCATGGCAGTTTTGGTGATATGAAATCCACCCTGCCCGAGTTTGGGGGTTGAGTACACCAAATCCAGATGGGTGCTTCTCCAGGGGATGACTGGAAAGGTCCTGGAAGACGGATGGAGACGATGACAGGTCCAAAGTGCAACGACTGCCAGCGCCCCAGGTGACGGTGGTCTCACGGTTTCCTTCGTTCGGAATGAACTGAAGAGACCTTCAAACGATGACGAAGCACTGTTTGCTGATGCTTCTTCGTTACTCATATGCAGTCTCATACTCTTGATTTGATGTTGTTTTAGACTCATATGGAGATGTAGAACGACTTCGGTAGGGGGGTTGCGAATCAACTGTCTACATTACATCCTTTTACATACCCCAGAAGTCCTGTTTGTGACGCAGCGATTATATAAGCGATTGAAGAGCGCAGCCGGCCATTGGCTTGGCTCGTGTGAAAAACCCAGAATTGTCTTTTACAGCTCAGGCCACCACATTGTTTGTGATGTCCACCTCTACTGCCATTGCCTTCTTGGTACAAGGAGCCTTTTCAGAAATGGGACACAAGTCTTGGAGTGTGTGGAGAGGGGAGTTAGAGTGTTGGGAAATTTGGTCACACCCATTTTTGTCACCTTCCAGACTTTGCATTTTTGATATTTTTGCATCTATTGTGCTAGTTTTCGATGATTGTGGGATGCCGCATGATGTCGCTACATACTACGTGTTCAATCGGCGTTTAATCTGTATTGCGTTGCAATCCCCACTCTCTTGGATATCTCCCCTAGTGCCCGTGGCATACTAGGCAATGTCCAGACCCTTCATGGGTTCGAATCTCCCTGGTGCTTTGGTGCCCTTGGCAAGGCAGTGCAACTTTGGATTACTCACTCTGGCTTGGCTTTGCCACTGCTCTTGGGGCCGCCTGGGTGGCAGCAGTGTTCGGAGTTCATCATTTCGGTGAGCAACATATAGAGGGTATTGCTGAGGCTTTTGTACTTGGATAGGACAACTACACTGCAATAACTGATGGTAAGCTCAGTTCACAGCCCTGGTTGCCCTGCAGCTGCAAGCTTCGTGTGCCAGCTGCCAGTCCTCAAGCTACCAGTCGTTTGTAGCATGAGTACTCAAATCCAATATATCCTGCATAGCTGAACACGGACTCATCACATGCGTGCTTGCCCCAACAATTGATTGCTGAACATATGCCCCCAAGATGTCCATGCCTGCCATGAGACTCGATCAATCCACTGAATCTGGGTCCAAAACAATCAAACCGGCCAATTGATGTACTGATGTTACCAGCGAGTTCTCAGCCGTTTCAAATCGTTTCAAGGCTGTGGCCTCTGTGCAACCCCACTGACGTGGACCCAAAGACACCACGAAGACGTAGACGAACGCTGCCGCACCACGAACGCTGCCGCACGGGCAAGGCGGTGGTGGGCAAGGCGGTGGTGGGCTGGGTGGTGAAGCGAACCCAACGGCCCTCAGCCACTTGGAGGAAGGACGGGGAGCAGCTCCTACTTGGGGTTGAGCGACCTGGACCAGGAGATGGAAAGAAGTGGTGTAGATGCTAATGATACGCTAAAAGCAAGACATGGAATATAAATATAATAGTATCATATTTGATATAGTATATTTATTGGCTGTATATACATTGACTCCTTGTCAACCACCCAAAATATGCTATGCATGGAGTGTTCGGGGTATGTTATTTTGTACACTTTGATGTTGAAAATGCTTTGCAGGATCGCCACGTGTTTCTTACCAATCGATTGGAACACATCTGCTGGCGGCTTTGCCCCTCAAGCTTGATTTTGTGCCTTTGTGCCTTCAGCATCTCCTTTCTACCTTGCATGAGGTCATCATGTTCTTGCTGGGCGGCATCATTGCCCTCTCAGCACCTTGGATGATAGTTGATCATACTGCTGGCATGTGGCCTGGCACCATTGACAGAAACAGAGAAGCAGACTCCATCAAGCAATCGATGTTAGGATGGCATTGTATAAAAGGTGCGCTCCCCCAAACCCAACATAGCAACCACCTGGAAACCTCGAACCATCCTTCGCATGGAACCACCCCTTTGTTCGTGGCTATGTTTCGGGGCCTGGGGATGTTTTTTTTTTGGAATGCCTAAGGTTGTTGTCATGTCCATCACAGGCAGGCTGGCTTTGGAGCAATATTCGTTGAGCGAGACTGCACTAGCACGACTTCAATGAGAGCTTTGTGGCTGAAATTTGGGTGTGTTAGCAAAGAGATGTAAACGATTGTACCGCAGAATCATCGACGATTCAGCCAGCCGGGTCTTTCGTCCAGCGACTTCTGGCTTGCAGACGTCATAGCAAGTCACACGATGGAATTGTTGGCATGATTGAATGCATACCCCGCTGAAGACCAACATGCACCCTGAAAAAGCACTGATTTGTAGAGTGAAACCAGTCTTTCAAGGTGCCACTTTCAGGGAGTGTGCACTTGCAGCGATGGTCATTGACTCCCGCTAAAAAAGTGCTCCGTTCGTCGCGAAGTGTGGGGGTCTTTGGTTCCGAACGGCACCGGCGCCGTAGGCTTTATCGACGTGGTGGATGACCTGGTGCAAGGCCTACGGAGGGACATGGGAGCTGAGGCCATCTGGGTCCACTGGGCCATCCTGGTTTGGAGATGTTTGCAGTTACCAATAACTATAACGCCTTTTCGTTTAGAAAGAGGGTCAGATAGGTTGTAGCATGCTCTAGGTATTCATGTGGTTACCGTCATATTGTCATGTCTTCAACTGGGTTCAAAAACTGTTTTTCGTTCCCCCATGTCGACTGCATGCCCATCGACTGAGTGGCGTTTTGACGAAAAAGGGCTCCAGGCAGAACACAATCTTGGAAAGGAGGACGCTCCTCCACAGACGGTGTACAGTTTCGACCACATGTTGATGACCAGCTCCCTACCGATGTAACATAGGTGCACATCTTCGGTATCCAGAGCATCAGCCAAGTCTGCCCTACAAATCAGTTCAAGAGTATGCTGCAAGCACCGTCTATGTTTCGCACACGTTGGTCACGCTCCAAAGACCTGGGGCCAATGCGAAAAGGAAAAGACCTTCAACAGACGGGCCATTTGAACGGTTTCTGCGAGGAAGATGCCAATTGTCCTGTGTCCTCAAGCTAGCGTGAACAAATCCCATCCATTTACATGAGGTCCCATCTTCCTCATGTTCACGGGTAGTTTGATGATGTTTGATGCGCGCTTCAGTATTTTTGCATATCGCCGTTGAAGCATGAATCACCAGATTGTGAGTTCGCACTTATCGAACTTCGATTGGAAGTCTCTCAGCTTCGGAAATAGACTTGCCAAGAACCTGGGCCTGCCCGGCTTCTATGTTCGTATATTCGGACAGAAGGGGAAGTCTGGGGAGAGCCCTGCACAGTCGGCATGATAAAACATGATGCTTGGGAAGGCTCCTTGTTACACCCCATATGCATCCCATATCCACATCGCGTCATCGCGCGTCCAACTCGACTCGAGTTTTTCAGTCGAAGGCAATGACCTTGGCTTCCGAGATCCTTGCGTGGCCCTTCAGCACTCCTAAGGCTGGCGGTTCATAGGGATTGTGTGCAAAGCGAAGATTGAATCCGATTTGCCACGCGTTGAGTAACTTCATGTAACTTCTCTCCAAGCACCCACCTGTTGAAAAAGCAGATCCTGCTGCAAGGTCACCCCTTTGCATTGCTTGGCTTTGCGTGTTTTGTGTCTATGTTTGAACGCTTGCTCTTGGGGAAACCGCAAAAGAGTTGGTCGTGTGACTGTTTGGTTTGCCAATTCCGCGAGACTTTGTCAAGAGCAGTCATTTCTTGCACTTCCTGGCCGCGTTTTCTCCCAAGACAGTGGGGGGGTTGTAACACGCCGTGTGGCTCCTCCAGCTACTATGGCGTGTTTCAAATGCCATGCAGATGCAAAAGATGGGGAGGTTGCAATATGGTCCGGACAGAAATGGCTTTGGGTGTGGAATTGCAGCCACCAGTGGGACCAGAGCTCACATTCTTACGTACAGCTCCCACGCGTCCTGCGATTTGATGCGAAAGCGCTTGAAGTTCCTGGCACCATATATTGTTACAGATGTTGGGATGACTGGGGGCAACATGTCAAGCCGGGCAGCAAATATGCACTGAGCAGCACTTGCGAAGAAATGGCCGTTCGACTCGGAGTGATGTTTGAAGCAAATAACACCCAGAGTAGGAAGAGCAATCCCTTCCATTGCATTCTTTGCAACGCATATTTCAATGCAGGCGCTCGCTCACTAGAGATGCATTTGAAAGCAGCCCACCTTGATCAATTCCAGCAGAACAAGCAGAAGGCTGATGCATTACAAAAAGCTCACCTGAATCCATTGGTTGGGAGCAAACGGAAGGCTGATGCAATGATCTCTGAAAAGGATTTCGAGCCAGTGCTTTACGTTTCTGGCTGCAGCCATGCTCTGATTGCTGCCCATATTGAAGGCAGGTACACGGCAACCAAGTGGAATCATGGGAAGCCAATCTATGAAAAAGAGCAGACCAAGCAGCCAGCTGATGGTTTTTGGGGCCCCACACCCAGATCTGCATTCATCTACTTCTGGGATGAGCGTGACGGAGCCCTTCAGCATGGCTGGTGGTTCGCACCCATCGTCGGCCACAACAACGTGTGGGCCTTCAATGGGGCCAATCGGGAGGCTGAAGTCTTGACGGTACCGGAGTCCTGCCTTTGCTTGGCGAGGCGATTGTTCGTGTGGGGGTGGATCAAGACATGTCAAAACCTGTCAAAACCACACCCCCTAAATGTCACCGCGGTAGGCTCACATCTCCTTTCTGGTCCATTCTGTTCATTTTGACTTAAGGTCCTTGGTCTTTGAACCTGCACTTTCCTACTCCCCACCACTGTGTTCGGGAGATTAGACCGGCAGTCATCTTCTTACTGTATGGGAACTCTGCACGGAATACTCAGCCTGCGGAAAAAGGTAAAAAACAAAAGCCTGGGGATGGCCTGCCAGCTTGCCAGAGGTGGCTAAAAATGGTTGCAAGATATGGAGAGGAGTCTCCTTGGGTGGTTGTTTGATGTTCATTTTTGGGGCATCCAAGGAGTCTGGTTGGAGGATTACCTTCGATGGCGACATCGATAAGACTCTGCGGGTCACAGCAAGTCCAGCAAAAGGGTTGGAGGACTTAAAGCTGGAGCTTCGCTGGGAGTTTCTGGCAAGCCCAGAGGGAGCCTCACCAGAAGATTGGCAGCCGATGAAGCAAGACATGAACGATGTACTTGAGAAGCGTTGGGCCAAACATTGGGACGGTGATGATGGCACTGACTTTTTCAATGTCGAATCAAATGGCTTCACATATCGCATCGATTGCTATACCATGTATCAAGAAAACTTGAAGACGTACCGATGTCGGCGCATCAGGCGGGGAGAGCCCAGAGCTAGCATGGCGGCTGTGCTCCCAAAACTGATGGCGAAGGATGCCGAGATCGCACGCCTTCAAGCCCAGAACAGTGACCTCTTCAAGGAACTAGACAAGTTGGATGACAAGGTCAGAAGGTTGGAGTGTTTGGGCATCATTCTATTCATTCGTGGAGTTTTTTCTTCAAGTGACACTGTGACACCAGGGATGTGTTTTCTTACTATTTGGGGTTCCTCAAACCTCGATGTCTCAATCCCTGGGAGCGAAGCAGAACCACAGATGGAACGGTGTGACGGAACGGTATGACTGCATGACTGCATGGCTTAGGGATGCTTAGGGGCTTTTTCGACGCAGGGTGAATGAGACGAGCATCTTGAATGACCACCAAAGGGGAGGGTGCTGTGCTAGGTGTGGCTGTCTCGGTTTTGCATATTGTTGTTAGTTGTTTATTGCTGTTTCTAAATGTTTGAAGCTGAGGCAGGAGAAAGCTACTTTGATGGATTCAGTGGTGGAGCATGATGGCCAGATGATGCTGCAGGAAATTTGGCGAATGGGTCGCCAGCTACAAGTGAAAGTGTACAAAGAAGTCCCTGCTTGGCACAAACTCTATTCCATCATCAAAGATGCATTGCTCGATGCGTGTCCCAAAGACCACTTTGGCCATTGCCATCGCATTCGGGATGCTCACATCACGGAAGTGAAGCAGATATTTAACGTTGAAGTGTGGAAGGACTATGAATTCCGCAAAAAAAGAGTGCGAAAAGAGCTGGAAGAAGGACCTGCCTGTGTGCGCCTGACTAGCAACCTGAATTCAGAAGTGTGCAGTTGGGCTGAGCTGGACCCAAAGATCAATGAGATTTTGGTGATCCATGGCACGACGTTTGACAAAATCGATCAAATTGCCACCTGTGGATTTGATGAGCGCCTCGCACGTGAAAGCGGCTTGTACGGGCAGGGTGTGTACTTCACAGACCAAAGCTGCAAGAGTTTACAGTACTCGGGCGCAGCGACGCAACATGTTGGTTGCTTGATCATTGCACGCCTGGTTCTCGGGCGTCCTTTCTTCGCTGGAGGGCCCCAGAAAAACTTGAAGATAGAGCCCTTTCTGGATGTGAATGACCCTTCCAAGGGTCGCTTCCATTCCGTGATCGCCCGCCCTGGAACCCCCACAGGCCTCGGGCCACAACCACAGGTTCATCAAGAGTATGTGGTTTTCGATGGTGCTCAAGCATATCCAGAGATGATTGTGCACTTCAAGATTCCCTGAGAAATTGATTCCTTGCATGGCCTCAGCACTGGCTGAAGTAGGAGGCCGCGGCTGTATAGTTTAGATGAAGATTCCTTGAATCCGCCAAAGGTGCGGGTGACAGCTTAGCTAGTCGAAAAATAGACGCATGCTGCACATGTGGCTTCATTCCAATCTAGGTGAACTTCCTCTTTCCCTCCTCTCCTTGTTTATTGAGTGCGCTTTTTACGGAGCAAGGGTGCAAAGATACACTTCTGTAGATGTGTGAATCTCGAATTTCGACGCTTCCTTCATCAGAAGAAGGGGCCGAACACCCGGAGCGATCCTTGGGTCAGGAGAAGCACGCTCAGGGCCGCAAGAACCCGAGCAGAGGCCATGGGGGTGACGAGAGTCGGGAGCGCTCAAGTCGGGTCCAGTCGAACTCTGCCAGAACTCCCACATGCAGTACCAACAGAGGTTAAGTGACCGTAAATAGGACCTGTAACCAGGGGTACCGAACTAGGATAGTCTAGTTCGGGTTCTTCAACCTCTGCTGGTAAGATCTTGGGTTGAACCTCCGGTCTACCCGACGTGGTTTCTGCAGTTGAACCGACGCTGCACGGACGCTGCACGGCGCGACGTGGACCTCAGACCTGGTGTTTCTGCGCCAATTGGGACTCTTCGACCCGGCTGTGGGTCAAAATGTAGAGCTTCAAAGCCGGACCTGGCTATATAATAATTTGTTTTACGTTCCTTTTCGGCGGTCAACGGGGTGTGGTGAGTTCTTCATCACCGAATACAAGTGACTGCCCTTCTTGGACTCACAAGAATATCACAAAAAGCATGGGGTTGATCTAAAGGGGAGTGTGAAAGAGTTTACACAAAACAACCTTTTGGATGCTGTCCAAACCATCCGCGAAAGATCAGTATTCAATGCAGTCCTCCGGCAGAGACAATGGGCGGAAGTCTCCCCACTGTCACTGGCTAGCAATCCAGGCAATTGACACAGCTGTGACAGTGCGTGAAGGATTCTCCAATTGCAGTTTGCTCCCCACTCTCCTCAGGGTCGGCCCCCCATGCCTTGAGCACTTGAAAAGACCCCAGTGGAGAAACTTGAGGTCCCCCCCCGTTCTGCACAGGAAGTCTGAGAAGGGATCTGTTCCAAGGTCTGTGGCGCGGATACTGCAGGTGAAAGCGGAATATATATATATATATATTCCTATAGATATAGCGCCGCTGAACCTTCCGTGATCATGCTGCAATATGCCAGCCGCTAGTTAGTCGTTCAAAAACGTGGTCTATAGGCTCAGACGTGTTCTCTAAGAAAATGCCTCACGATGAGGCCAGGAAGGATCAGGAGACCTGTTCCGCTTCAGAATGGCCTTTCCATGGAAGAACTATGTTCCTCAACCAGGGAGTCTCTTTGCAAAAGTACTTTCGTACATTTCAGCACCCTTGCAACTTGGAGATCCTCAAAACATTGCCTGGCCAAGCCCATGAACCACTGGACCAGAGGTGACCAGACCCATCAGTTCGCCTCTTTCTTCCATTCGGTTCGCCGCGTTCAACCCCGGTTTTCTTCATAAGATGAGGAGTGGAATGGAGTGGATGTTGAGAATCCATTGAATGCACATGATGGTCATTATTATGGTGTTGTATTTTGTTTAACAACCATGGTGTGTCGCTTTTGGTCGCTCTTGATAGAATAGACATGAATTAATTAGACTAGTTGGTTCATCTCCGAAAACCCATTTCTCCAACCTGGATGGATCATCGAACGCTTCACCATGCCTCAAACGGACGGGGATTTATATCGCCATGAATGTGTCTTTTTTCCTCCCAAGGAATTGGAGGGTTCACACCCGCGTGTAGCCTCCAATCTCTATGCCAGTGTGTTTCAAATGCGCTGCTGATGCAAGGCTTGGGGAGGTGGCCATCTGGACCAGTCAGGGATGGCTGTGGGTGCGGAATTCCGTGCGCCAGTGGGATGAGCGTTCAGGTTCTTACATACCACTCCCTCATTTCCTGTGGTCGCGCTTTGATGCAAAAGCGCTCCAAGCTCCTGGCAGTGTATATTGCTGCAGCTGTTGGAAGGTTTGGGCGCGGCATGTCAAGCCCGGCAGCAAGTATGAACTGAGCAGCGCTTGTGAAGAGTTGGCCGTGCGACTGGGGGTGGAATTTGAAGTACCGATGAGCCACTCGGGCAATCCCTACAAATGCCCTCTTTGCAAGACATACTTCAACCACGGCACTGCTTCATTGGAGAGGCACTTGAAACTGAACCACCTGGATCAATTTCAACAGAACAAACGGAAGGCAGATGCAATGACGCCGCAAAAGGATTTCGAGCCAGTACTTCATGTTTCTGGCTGCAGCCATTATCCCATCGCTGCCCTTCTTGAAGGCAGGTACTCTGCGATCAAGTGGAATCATGGGAAGCCTGTTTATGAAAAAGATCCCACTGCGAAGCCAGTTCATGATGGCCCTAGCTCCGCTTTCATCTACTTCTGGGATGAGCGTGACGGAGCCCTTCAGCATGGCTGGTGGTTCGCACCAACCGTCGGCAACAACAACGTGTGGGCCTTCAATGGGGCCAATCGGGAGGCTGAAGTCTTGACGGTACCGGAGCCCTGCCTTTGCTTGGCAGGCGATTGTTCGTATGGGTGTGGATCAAAACATGTCAAAGTTACACCGACCCCCCTAAATGTCACCACGGTATTGCGAGCCTCCTGACTAGTCCATTTTGTTCATTTCATTTAAGCCCATGAAGGTTGAACTTGCACTGGTTTTGAGACCTACAGGTTTTTTAAAGGCATAGGAACTCTGTACGGAATACTCAGCCTGCGGAAAAAGAACAAACGCAATCCCCCATGATATTCGGACTAGAGAATGGGGTGCGTTAACGTACATAGAAAACGGCCATTCTTTAGTCTCAAAAAGGTAAACTCACCGAGAAGGGGTCAGGAGCCTCATTTTCTAGTGACCTGTAGGTCACTAGAAATTGAGGATCACAGGTCTCATAGGCATGCTGGCAGGGTCATTTTCTAGACATCACCTTGTTTTCTTGATCCCACCGTGATCCTCATTTTCTAGTGGGGGTGCCTCATTTTCTAGCAAACATGATGAATCATGATGATTCAAGACAGAGTTTAAGAGAAACATAACCCAAAAAACAATATCAATTCCAACGTGCAAAGCTCCTTTTCTTCCTCTCCTCAGCTTCCTGCCCTCGCATTGCTCCTTGCCTGTTCATCCTCTTCAGGATTGCGGCAACTTCTGCAAGGAACTGGCTAAAGAACTTTGTTGTGTCAATCTCAGTGTGTGTTGTTGGATGTCCCCCAGCGTCTCAAATCCTCAAACACTGCCATACCGAGGGCCATACCCTACCATTCCATTTCTGGCGCTACCATTCCATTTTTGGCACCCTGGCCAGAAATGGAAAGGTAGGGTATCCAGCCAGACCAATTCGCTAGAAAATGATGGGTTCCACGTCTTTAGGGTGCGTTCCCCATTTTCTAGTGGCTTTGGTGTCTCGACCAGCACCTGGTACACCCAAATCCTCAAACACTGCCATACCCTACCCTTCCATTTTTTGCACTCTGGCCAGGAATGGAAAGGTAGAGTATCCAGCCAGACCAATTCACTAGAAAATGAAAAGTTCTAGGTCTTTGGGGTGTGTTCCTCATTTTCTAGTATCCTCATACGCTACCATTCCATTTTTGGCACCCTATGGAAAGGTAGGGTATCCAGCCAGACCAATTCACTAGAAAATGATGCGTTTCACGTCTTTAGGGTGTGTTTCCAATTTTCTAGTGGCTTGGGTGTCTCGACCAGCACCTGGTACACCCAAAATCCTCAGACACGGCCATACCCTACCATTCCCTTTCTTGCACTCTGGCCAGAAATGGAAAGGTCAGCCAGACCAATTCGTACCAGGTGCTGGTCCAGACACCAAAGCCACTAGAAAATGAGGAACACACCCTAAGGACCTAGAACCCATCATTTTCTAGTGAATTGGCCTGGCTGGATCCCCTACCTTTCCATTTCTGGCCAGAGTGCAGAAATGGACTGGTAGGACCAGAAATGGAATGATAGGGAATGGCAGTGCTGGTCCAGACACCAAAGCCACTAGAAAATGAAGGACTAAAGACCATCATTATCTAGTGCATTGTTCTGGCTGGATACCTTACCTTCCCATTTCTGGCCAGAGTGAAAAATGGAATGGTAGGGTCTGGCAGTGTTTGAGGATTTGGGTGTACCAGGTGCTGGTCGAGACACCCAAGCCACTAGAAAATTGGAAACACACCCTAAAGACGTGAAACCCATCATTTTCTAGTGAATTGGTCTGGCTGGATACCCTACCTGTCCATTTCTAGCCAGGGTGCAAAAAATGGAATGGTAGGGTATGAGGATATTAGAAAATGAGGAACACACCCCAAAGACCTAGAACCTTTCATTTCCTAGTGATTTGGTCTGGCTGCATACTCTCCCTTTCCATTTCTGGCCAGAGTGCAAAAACTGGAATGGTAGGGTATGGCAGTGGTTGAGGATTTGGGTGTACCAGGTGCTGGTCGAGACACCAAAGCCACGAGATAATGGCGAACATACCCTAAAGACCTAGAACCCATCATTTTCTAGTGAATTGTTCTAGCTGGATACCCGACCTTTCCATTTCTGGCCAGAGTGCCCAAAATGGAATGATAGGGAATGGCAGTGTTTGGGGATTTGGGTGTACCAGGTGCTGGTTGAGACACCAAAGCCACAAGAAAATGAGGAACACACCCTAATTTTGATGGGTTCTACGTCTTTACAGTGTATGAAGAGCGAAGATATACAAGCTCAGGCTCAGGTCTGATTGTCATCTGACAAACAGCTTCAGTGAAATCATGGCACCACTATGGCACGATTTCCATGGGCCGTCTGGCATGATACAGTATATGTCACTGCCATTCACTGCCCATCCTGATCATCCTCAGCCCAAAACAAAGCAAGGTGGCACCACTAGAAAGCAGGGTCAAAGCAGGATCCGCTAAAGAATGACGATCACACGTCAAGGCACCAGGGCATTCACTAGAAAATGTCGAACGCAGGTTCAAAAAGAAGACGCGCCGATCACAGGCCCGAGAGGTGTGATCAAAATCTAGGTTCATTTCCTAGTGATTCACTAGATTATGCTGATCCAGGTTCATGAAACTGTGTTCTTCATTTTCTAGGGAGCTGACATTCATCATTTCCCAGGAAATCACTAAAGAATGGAGATGTGTGACCCCTCCATGTGATTAACATGGGGGATCAAACGCATAAGGCGGGGGGATGGCCTGCCTGCTTGCCAGAGGTGGTTTAAAAATTGTTCTAAGATGTTCCAAGATATATTGTATAGAGCAGTCTCCTCAGTGGTTGTTTGATGTTCATTTTTGGGGCATCCAAGGAGTCTGGTTGGAGGATTCCCTTCGACGGTGACATCGACAAGAATCTGAGGGTCACAGCAGGTCCAGCAGATGAGTTGGAGGACTTTAAGCTGGAGCTTCGCTGGGAGTTTCTGGCAAGCCCAGAGGGAGCCGCCGAAGATTGGCAACTGATGAGGCAAGATATGAACAATGTACTTGAGAAGCGTTGGGCCAAACATTGGGGAGGTGACAATGGCACCGACATCTTCTTTGTGGAAGCTAATGGCTTTAAGTACGGCATCGATTGTCGTTGCATGGTGCAATCGAATTTGCAGACGCACCGCAAGCGCCGCATCCGGCGGGGACTGCCCAGGCCCAACATGACGCAGGTGCTCCCGAAGCTGGCTGCGAAGGATGCGGAGATCGAGCGTCTTCAAGCTGACAAGCACGGTCTCTTAGACGAACGAACGGAGTTGGCTGCCAAGGTGGCCAAGTTAGAGTGTTTGGGCAGCAAAAGTATGAAAAATGGGGGAATGAGAGGGAGCGTGTCTCAAAATGGAAGTGCCCAGCCGCTATGTCACTCTGGCTTGTGGCCCAAGTGTGTTCAGCTGACTCCAACTAGCATTTGGTGTGGTTCAGGCGTGTTTTATCCTTCTACATGTCTTTTGTAAGAACCCCACACTTCATCCTAAAGCCCCTGAAAATGAAAAAGAAGCACGAGTCCGATCCTAATTTTACAGACCATGTTCTTCATTGCAGTCCAGAACTGAGGCAGGAAAGAAGCATCCTGCTGAATTCACAGGCTGACCATGCCACGCAGATGATGTTGCAGGAATCTTGGCGCATGAGTCGCCAACTGCAAATGAAAGTTTACAAGGAGGTCCCTGCTGGAGACCAGGCCTATGCCACTATCCAAGATGCATTGCTTGTGGCATGTCCTCAAGAGCATTTCGGCGATTGTCACCGCATGCGGCGTGTGTCCATCACCAAAGTCACGCAGATCTTCAACGTTCGCATTTGGAAGGACTATGAGTTCCGCAAGGATCAAGTGCGAAAGGAGCTGGAAGGACGAGCTTTTCCATGCGTGACGAGCAACTTGCCTTCAAAAGCGTGCAGCTGGGCTGAGCTGGACGCAAAGATCAATGAGATTTTGGTGATCCACGGCACTACTCTTGAGAAAACCGATCAGATTGCCACCTACGGATTTGATGAGCGTCTGGCACGTGAAAGCGGCTTGTATGGGCAGGGTGTTTACTTCACAGACCAAAGTTGCAAGAGCCTACAGTACTCAGGTGCTGCAACACAAGATGGTGGCTGCTTCATCATTGCACGCCTGGTTCTTGGGCATCCCTTTTTCACCGGAGGACCCTTGAAGAATGGAAAGGTCGAGCCTTTTCTGGATCCCCTAGACCCTTCCAAGGGTCGCTTCCATTCCGTGATCGCCAAGCCCGGAACACCCACAGGCCTCGGGCCCCAACCACAAGTTCATCGAGAATACGTGATCTTCAATGGTGCCCAAGCATATCCAGAGATGATTGTTCACTTCAAGATCACCTGAGAAATTGCTTACGTCGTCCTTGGGAGTGGAGGCTCTTTCGAAATTCGATGAAGATGTCAAAAGCCGCCAAAGGTGCGGGTCTAGAGCTTAGCTAGTTGAAAAATAGACACATGCTGCATATGTGGCTCCGATCGAATCTCCAAATCGGTGGGTGCACCTCCTCCGGATTGAGCGACTAATTAATTACTGCATGTTGGTGCATCGACCGAGCTGCTTTTCAGGGAGCAGAGTCGGTGTGTGTTCCAGACTACTCATACCCATCAATGACCGATGTGAATGGCATGAGCATCTATTGTGAATTTCAACTTGCCCTCCATCTCCCAAACGTGCGTGGCGTTGAATTCATGGACCTTTCTCCGCAGGTTTTCGCCAACAGCTGCGCGTTCACCTGGTTTGGGCTCTCGGTGGATGGATCCAGGCGCGGTCCATGTGTCGTGGCATCGGAACTCGAGGAATTGGAGCGAATGGCAGGTGATGTGATCTGTGGATCGCCTGCTTTTGCGACACCGAATGCAACGAGTGCAGGGTCCAAGTGCAAAAGGGTTCCGCCTATGTTAAACCGGTTTTTTCTAAGGAAGCTCAAGAAATCAAGGCAGTCAGGGCAATCACTAGTTTTTTGCCAATTGGGGTCTAGTCTAGCCTGATATATCTGGCTCAGCGAAATGGCACAAGTGGTTCCTCAGGGTTTGGACTTAAGACTTTGACAATGAGTAGGTGGTTGCGACCTGTCAATGAGTCGTGGTGAGTTCTGAATCAAACCACCGAAAGATGTAAAGATGAAAGGTTCGTTTGACTCTCGTTGCAAAGCGGACCAAGAACCAGAGTTCTGGCATTTTGATGTCCGTCATACATCCAGGTTTCTTGACTTCCTCAAGTCAACTTATTAGCGGCATTTTGGTGTTATAGATGATGGTGCTAAAGAGGTGTTGCGGTTCTATTTTTTTGCTTTGGCCAATTACGACTGCAGAATAGAATAGAACAGAATAGTGTGCCAACACCGTGCGCAAACGGAATCTCACTATTGTCATTGTTCGAAATTATTCGCATTTTGTGGCATTAAGTATCTTACACTATACAGAAGAATTAGATTCTGTATAATTTCCTTTTATTGCTTTTGACAGGAATAAATCATGATCAAACTAATCGAATATAATATATGTATCTATATAATGATATAATAGATACTTATTGTAAATCAATAAAATTATTAATACGGATTTAATATATGTATAATGATATTTAAAGGCTTACGCCTAACAGCCGGGCGCCGGCCCACTTGGGTTTGTGTAGGGCTGGGTGGGGTGCACGTTAAGCTATCGGGAGCGTATTGGGCCCTGGGTGGGGCCAAGGTGGGAAATTGCTCCGCGTCGGAGACGGGGGCCCTATATTGAGCAAAGTTAAGCTATTTGGTGCGCATCTTGGCCCTAGGTTGGGCCCATGTGGTCTATGTTGGGCACATCTTGGGCCCATGTTGAACCTATGTTGGGCCTATGTTGGCCTATGTTAGGCCTATGTTGGCCTAGGTTGGGCCTATGTTGGCACCATGTTGGTCTATGTTGGCCCTATGTTGAGCCATCTTGGAGGCTATGTTGGGGATATGTTAGGCAATTTAAGTTGAAACATTTTGCGATACAACTTTTTTTCCTTCCCGCAAAGCAAAAACCATGGAAAAACTTACGTCTTTAAACATCGCTAAGATGAAATTCTCGGCCGCCGAGGGGCCCAAAATCTTGTAAAACACAGTGCTTTTTATACCTCACACACGCGAAACACTGTAAATTATAGGGGCTTCAGTGCCGAGGAAGTGGGACGGGAAGGGGGCCCGCCCGTTTTCGTGACGAGCGCAAGCGTA